AGGTACTGCTAAACATCCAACAATGTACAGGATAGCCCCCCACCACAAAGAATTCTCTAGTCCCAAATCTCAGTCATGCAGAGGCTGAGAGAATCTGCTCCAGGCCGTCATTTAACCAAAATGATATGTACATCATTGGTGGTACATAAAGTGAGTTTAGGACAACCTTTGATAAAAGTTTTAATAGTCACATATTTATTTTAGCATAAGTTATAAACACGATTAGCATATAAAACCTATGACTACAGAGATATTATTGCTTAAGATGAGGCTAAATTAGTATTTAAAGTTTTTTAAGTGTAGACTTAAAAATTTGAAGTAAATAATAGTGTAAATGGACTTTATGGCACACACACAAAAAAAATTGAGTGTGGGTGTGATCAAGGTTTAGGAACCACAGATTTAGACCAGCGGTCAGAAAACTTTGTCTGTAAAGAATCAGATAGAAAGTATTGGAGGCTCTGTTGCAACTACTCAGCTGTGCCATTTTGTTGTAAAAGTCACCATGACAGTACGTCAACAGATGAGTCCTTTCACCATCCTGACCATTATAATCTAATGTCTAAAGTGAATCCTTTAAACTCAGTGCCCCAGGTGTGGCCTGACCATGGCAGGGTAGAACACTCTTACTTACCCAGGTTAGTAGGATTTAAAATATTTATAAAATAATGCCCATATTTTACAAGTGTTATTGACAAGGCATGATGTTTCCTCCACCTTGCATGTGTATAGTTAGTAGGGTTTGTGTTTAATCAAAGTACACAATCTTACAAGTATCACAAATCAACTTTTGGATTCAGCATAAGAAACAGGGTGGGTTCAAATTCCAGCTCCTTCCTTTAGTACGTGTGTCTTCATGGGCCTGTTTATTACCCTCTCAGAGCCTTGATTTCCCGCTTAATAACATGAGGATGCACCTCCTGCAGAGTTGTTAGAAGGATGAAATGAGATACTGATGTGAAAGTTTTTAGAACAGGGGGTAACACACTCAGGAAATGCTGGCTTTTTTCTCTCCCTTCTTTCCTCTCTACCTCCGTTCTTCCACATATTTGATGAGGTTGGCCTTTTGTCATTAACCCATTGATAAAAGTGCCAACCAAATCAACAACCACACTGAACCCACAGCCCTGCACTACACCACTAGATACCTCCCTGAAAATTAAAAATGATCTCTTTATTAATACCCTTTGAATGTGATTTGTCGGCCACTTACAAATGCACCTAAATATCAGTGATTCCAGCCCATATTTCTTTCACTCGGCAAGAACAATAAACAACTTTGTGTCAGACATGGTGCTAAGCACCTGATACAAACATGAATTAGACATGGTTCCTGCCCCTCAAGGAGCCTACAGCTTGGTTGGGGAAGGGAAGATAGTAAGCAAACAGATGTTCACAATTGTCACAATTGTGGAATCTCACAAGAACATAGGCAAAGTGTTGCCTGAGACGAGTAGTAAAAGATAAATAGAAATTAACAAGGTGAAGGTGGGATGGGAGAGCGTTCCAAGCCAAGAGCTTGCAGTACATTCTTGTGCATGACCAAGGGGTGAGGTAGTTGGGAACAGAGGCTGGGTGAATAATATGGGTCACATTGTGCAAGGCATTGCATGTCATGCTATGGTTAAACAACTGCTTCCAGGCTAATGGTTTTCACTGTTCTTAGCAGTAAGACCTATCATTTAGAGCACGTCTTTAAGTGACAGCTCCATTATATAAAACCAGCATTACTAAGACTGTAGTTCAGCTGGGTGTTCCCCTTCCTGCCCACAACTAGCAGGGATGGAGGCCAAATGTAAAAAGATGCTACCTTTAAGTTGATTTAGTTCTTTGCCTTGAATGGTATAGCTCATAATGTGTTAAGTGGGTTTTCCATTGGTGTCACCCTTAGAGCACTGGTCTTGTAGACTGGGCAGGCATTCGGAGTTCTGATGAGTGAGACAACTAGATCAGGGTCTTAAAAGTTGCTCTAACAACAGTATGGAGAATAGACTGAAACTGAGAGTGTTTTGAAACCACTTGAAAAGCCATTTCTGTAAATAACAACTAAGGGTCTCACTTAAGGGCATGCCAATGGGACACATCACATGCACCAGCCTCTGAAAACAGTGTGGTTTACCCACTTTTGCAGTTGAGTAAGCTAAGGCCCAGAGAGGTTAAATAATTTGCTCAACATCAAGAGATCGTAAGTGGCAAAACTTGGACTCAGATTTATGTCTTGACTTCTCAAACTGAGGTGCCATAATAAGCTTTCTAACCTCCTTCTCAGCCAACGCTTCTCTCATTTGGCCTTTCTTGCTATTCTGTGGTTCTCCAGAGTTACCAGATATATGGGATCATCTGGGTCTTTGGCTTCCTCCCTCTCAGCACCTCTCCGGACACATAGTTGGCAGTCAGTGGATATTTATTAATAGACTATTTCAAAACACTTTTGGTGGATTCACCTGGCTTCCTGGAAAACACCTTCATCCTTATGGGAAATTAGACATTAGCTGCTAGATTCACACTTCAGGAAGGTGACCTGATTGGCCAGGCAAGGTCTCCAGCTGTTTTTACAGCGCCCTCAGCAGGCAGTCGCTGGTCACCGTGGCTGGTCCCTATTTTACAAGGCTGGTAGCATGATACCTACTACCTAGCAAGGCAGCTGGGGGATCCGCCTTATAATCCTGTCTACTCAAGGTCTCACACTTCCCGTGTGTTTTTGAAGGAAGAGACACCAGTCTCCTGTTTATCACAGACTACCTGTGAGGCTGTTTCTTATCTTCCTTTGCATAATATTTCTCCTTTCTCTATCCTCTTAAGGCACCTTGGAGCCTTCTACCTTGAGGAACTCGTGCTTTCTCATTTCCAACGTTTATTTCCTCAGAAGATTCGTCCTACCACACAAGAATATCTATTGGCTGCTTTTCATCCCTTGCTCCTAACTGTCATATCCCCAGATCTGTGCCTTTGTAGGAACCATTAATTAAACTATAAATGGGGGAGAGGAGGAGGCAGAGGTGGGCAAAACATGGGCTGTGGAATTACATTTTTGCCTCTTCCATCCCTACTTCCCTTAAGATCCAACGTAGAAATCCAGGCACAGCTGGTATGCAGTGCGTGTCATTGCCTGATGGAAGGACCGCCTTGTGAGGGGGGCAGTGACGCCCCAGTCAGCCACCTTTCAGTCAACTATTATGTTTGTCACCCTGGAGGCCATCTATCATGTACCCCACCTTCTTGCTCTCTTTGCCATTTATATTAAATTAGGTGGGAAACGGATCCCTTAAACTGCTAATGTCTAATAAGGTGCTGCATTTTTGTAAATGTGTGATTTAATCTTACTCAATAGTTGAAGGTTTGTTTTGTTTTTAAGTTGATTTAGTGCATTGCCTTGAACGTTCATAGCTCATAATGTGTTAACTAGATTTTCCATTTGTGTCACTGAAGAGTTATGTGAAAAATACAGAGAGAAAAACAGCCCTTGGGAAACAATGGAAGGAAGAAAGTTAATTGAATTTAAATTAGACGTAGCAATAATTTAAAGCGTAATTGAAAGTTTCAAAGGAGACTATCATGTTCATATGTCATGAGTAAGATTGTTCTTTTGGATAAACTAGTCTAATGTAAAATTTTTGATATATAGTATTACCTTGCACTCTATTTCCTTGTGAATGTCAAACGCTTTTGGATGGTAAAATGCACTGAGTTTCCTATGTTTAGAAATTCCTTAAATGAAAGATATAAATTCCACTTCTAGTTAATCTGAAAAAGAATTATAAAATTTAACTATGTGTTTCTGGCTCCATTGTTCTTGCTGCACTTCATTTAGAGACAGTCATAGAAAGGATTCTAAATTGCTATTGGAGCCTAGGATAGACTCTATTAAGAAAATAACTACTTTATTTTTGAAGATATGCGTTTCCTAATTTTCCTATGATGAGCTTATGTGGCTTTCATTATGAAACAAATCATTTTTAATTAAAAAATATATTTTATCTGAGTTGGCTCAACTTAAAAGGTAGAATCAAGAATATCTTCATCATTGCTTTCTGGAAAATTGACATACAAAAAACATCATACTGGTGTTACCTGTGGTTGCTGAGGGTCTGACAGCATCCTTGGGAGAGAGCTTTTTGTATGTCATCCTTGACCATGTCCAGCCTGGTGTTCATGCATGGGTCTCCGGCCTGATGATCCCACCTCTTCTCTTTCTTTGCATCTCCATCCATGACATTTCAAACAGTCTCTCCCACACCCACTCCCTACCAACCACTCTGTGTAGCTTTGAAAGCTAGAATCTCATGCATTATCATTTTCTTTCCTGGATCTCCAGCTTCACCATCAAGTTAATTCTTTTACTCCTCCTCTGAGACAAGTGGGTTGCAAACGAACCTCCCTTTGCACTTGGAGGTATCGATCTTAACCAGAAATATTTGTGGAATTAAAATTCTGTTTTTATTTTATTTTATTATTCCCTCTTTTCCTCCTTTTTTTTTTATGTGAGGAAGATTAGCCCTGAGCTAACATCTGTGCCCATCTTCCTCTGCTTTGTATGTGGAATGCTTGCCACAGCGCTGCTTGAGAAGCAGTGCAGATGTCCATGCCTGGGATCCAAACTTGTGAACCCCTGGCCACTGAAGCGGAGCCCATGAACTTAACTACTACGCTACCAGACCAGCCCCTGTTTTTATTTTTTTTAATTGTGGTAAATACACAGGACAGAAAATTTACCATCTTAACCATTTTAAAGTGTACAGTTCAGTGTCATGAAGTACATTCACATTGCTGTGCTGGCATCACCATCATCCATCCATAGAATTCTTATTTCCTGTTCCATGCTGCTACTACCATCAGGAAACTGCTATCCTAAAATGTTTAGCTGTGATGAGAAATGAGACTTCAGTTGCCCTGTAGACGCTTTGTCTCTTGGGAGTGGACAACTGAGTTTCAGAAAGGTTCTGATGCATTTATAGGATGTGTTAGCCAGAAGGAATGTCTTCTTTTCTCTTTTTAAACAGCTCTGAGCAGCGGGTCCCCTGTTCCACTTCTTACCACAGCCCTGGTTTGCACTCGGGTGATGGTGTCACAAAAGCAGGACCTCTGGGCCTTCCGGAAATAAGACAAGTGCCAACTGTTGTGATTGAATGTGATGACAATAAAGAAAATGTGCCTCATGAATCAGACTACGAAGACTCTTCTTGCCTGTACACGAGAGAAGAGGAGGAGGAGGAAGAGGACGAGGATGACGACAGCTCATTGTATACCAGTGCGTGCATCCCAGGTCTTCACCGAGGTGGGAGGGGTGTGGCTTATGGAAAGAGAGCTGACTGAGCTGCCCAGCACTTTCAGTTCTAATCCGGGGTCTGGTGTCAACTGGCCCTGGGTCATAGGGTAGCTCAGTTAACCTCTTGGGGCCTCAGTTTCTTCACCAGTAAAATGAAAGGGTAAATGTTCTTCATGCATCCTCATAGCTCTAAAAATTGCAACACCATGCTACCACCTCCTACTTCTTAGATGACTCTTTCTTTCTTTGATTTCTTCCCTTGGGATGCAACAACTTTCCCTCAAAGAAAAAAAGGCAGGGACCCCTAAAATTCAATTTCAGGCTGCAAAATACTCAGACATACTAACCACTGTGTATGCAACAAATTCATTTTTAAGCATATCTCAACAACTTTAGAAGACCTGAATTTAAATTTTTTTAATTGAGGTCACATTGGTTTATAACATTATGTAAATTTCAGATGTACATCATTATATTTTGACTTCTATATTGTCTGCATCATGTTCACCACCAAAAGTCGAGTTTCCACCTGTCACCATAGATGTGTGCCCCTTTACTCCTTTCAGCCTCCACCCACCTCTTCCCCTCTGGTAACCACTAATCTGTTCTCCTTATCTGTTTGTCTGCTTATTTAGCTTCCACATATAAGTGAAATCATAGGATACTTGTCTTTTTCTGTCTGACTTATTTCATTAAGCATAATAGCCTCAAGGTCCATCCACATGGATGCAAATGGCACAATTTCATGTTTTTTATGGCTGAGTAGTATTCCATTGTGTATATATACCATATCTTCTTTATCCATTCATCTATTGATGGGCACTTGGGTTGCTTCCACGTCTTGACTATTGTGAATAATGCTGCAATGAACATAGAGGTGCATACATCTTTTCGAATTAGTGTTTTCATGTTCTTTGGATAAATATCCAGAAGTGGAATAGATCATATGGTATTTCTATTTTTAACTGTTTTGAGAAATCTTTATACTGTTTTCCATAATTACACCAGTTTGCATTCCCACCAACAGCATAGGAGAGTTCTCTTTTCTCCACACCCTCTCCAAGACTTATTTCTTGTCATTTTAATAATAGCCATTTTGATGAGTGTGAGGTAATATCTTGTTGTAGTTGTGATTTGCATTTCCCTAATAGTTAGTGATGGTGAACTTCTTTTCGTGTGCCTGTTGGCCATCTATATATCTTCTTTGGAAAAACATCCATTCATGTCCTCTGCCCGTTTTTTGATCAGGTTGTTTGTTTTTTTTGTTGAGTTGTATGAGTTCCTTATATATTTTGGAAATTAACCCCTTATCAGATATATGATTTGCACATATTTTCTTGTTTAAGGCCTTTAAATGGGCTAAGAGAGAAGAAATGAAGAAAGCAAAGTTCAAAATCTATCATTCTGGCCATGAACAATAAATAAATTTTAGTTAAGTGTTTATAGACTGATATTTGGTCAACTTTTTAATTAATGAATTTATATAATAGCAACCTTTTACTATGTATAAACTGTGTGCCTGACAACTTGCTAAGATTTTCTTCTCTTATCTATGTCTTACAACACCCAGTGGCACAGACTCTATTGCCCCATGTTATGGATAAGGGAAGAAAGTGGAGAGTAGGTGACTTGCCCAGAGCCTCACATCTATAAAGTGGCAGCGCTGGGATGTGATGCTGGCTGCGTCTCATTGCAAAGCCCATGTTCTTAAAACCAGTGGGGGAAGAAAGAAGACAAGCAGTATAAAACAAACCCCAAATCCAAAGAAGGAATCCAGCAAACTTGCTGCTTCCCAGTCTCTTCCTCTTGCTTTACTTACCAGACTTCAGAGACCCAGCTCAATTCGAGCCGGTCAGAGTACTGGTGACCCATGAAATGATCACAGTAATGTCAAGGAGAGAACCACGGAGGGGCAGCCAAAGGTGGAAATGATTCACGAGTGGAAGGAGCAGCTGCTTAGCCTCTGCTCGCCGTTTCCTGCCAGAGCATTGAATGTTTTATACTACAGTCTCTCAACCTCGGCGTTATTGACATTGTGGACCAGATAATTCTTTGTCGTGGGAGCTGTCCTGTGCATTATAGGATGGCTAGGAGCATCCTTGGCCTCTACCTACTAGATGCCAGAAGCAGTCTCCCCGCCAAACCCCAGTTTTGACAACCAAAAATGAGAACCATGGATTTATTCCAGATGGGAGGCAGCCCTGCCCTGGCTGCTCAGAACTTCTTATGTTAAGAAGAAAAAACAATCCCAGAATATTACCTATTTCAGTGACCTCAATTCCATTCCAAACTGACCCCACTCCGTCTGCTCAACTTTATTTTCCTTTACATATGCCCAGCTCCACTGGAGCTCATCTCTTTTGTTTCCTGTGATTACCTGGCTTATTCGTCATCTGTGAGCTTTCCTGCCTGAAGATGTCCACTGGCTTGCTGCCTGTTCACATCTCATCTATCCTGCAGGTGCCAGCTCCTCCTCCTCTGTGAAACTTCCCATTCTTACTACAGGCCTCTGTCCTCTCTCTCCCCTTTGCATTCTGTTGCACTCCACAGTCTGTCTTTCCCTCCTTTGCAATATTGCCTGCATGCTGGGAGTTCTTGGAGAGCAGAGATGCAATCACAGGCTCCCCATGTGCTCCTACTTGCCCAACACACTATTAGGCATGTAGAACATGTTGGTTGCAGGAACTCCATCAAAGTGGCCTTTGAGGCCTTAACCACTCTCAGATGTTGAGCCCATGGTGTCTGTCTTCCTGCCTTTTACCTTGTGGGCCACGGTTGGCCCTGTGGGAGGCCAGGCAGGTTTGTGTCAGCATTAACTGAAACTTGTTTCTCCCTTCTGCAGGCTCCCTGGCCATGAAGGTGTGCAGAAAGGACTCCTTAGCCATCAAACTCAGCAACAGGCCCTCCAAGCGAGAGCTAGAAGAAAAGAACATCCTCCCCAGGCAGACAGATGAAGAGAGACTGGAGCTGAGGCAGCAGATTGGCACCAAGCTCACCAGGTAGGACAGCAGACCCACCAGCTCTGTGGGTTTTAGGAGAAGAATGGAGACATCAGTCCTGAGTGTCTCTTGAAGAGGTTACTGCAGAAAAAGTCAATGGAAAACATCCCATTTTCTTTTCCAGGGTTGCTTCTATAGTCCTTTCCCCTTCACTCATCCAAATCTTGCAAATTTTACTTGGTTAAAAGTTCAGGGAGAAGCTGAGCGGCAGGTTTCCAGGGAGAATAACCATCTGTGGAAAGATCATCACCATCCAGGAGAATTGATGACCTGTATACATAGGAGTTGTCATTTGATGAAGCACAAAGCAATCAAATAAATGCCCTTTCTGCTATATTATACAACCAGAAGAGATCACTGGCTGTTAGTGATGCCTCATTGCTGAACTGTGACTTCTCTTGAGTGATTGCTCTTGTGTATGGACATTATAGACGGTCATAGCAGTATGTTATATTAATAGGTTAACACCTATGTGTGTATTTGTAATGTAGGCCATGTTTATATGGTATTAGCTAACATTCGTGGAGCACTTAGTATTTGCCAGGCATTCTTCTAAACATTTTACATGTGTTAAATCATTTAATCTTTGAGCTGCCCTATGAAATGGACCTTTTTCTGCCCATTTTACAGATGAGAACACCAGACACAGAGAACTTTAGTTACCTGCGTAATGTCACATGCAATGGCCCCAGAGGGCTCCCTGTCTATAACAGTACTTATCACATGAGCCCTTCCTTGGTCCCAGGCACAGTGCTAAGGGCTTGATGCAATGTGTAATCGTCTCCAGGGTTTCATCCTGACTCTCCCTCTTACTAGCTCTATAGCCTTGAATAAGTCACTTATTTTCTTTGCCTATGTTTCTGCGTTTGTAAAATGGGGAATGGTAAGAACAAACAATATAAGTAAAGCCTTTGAGACAGTGCCTGGCCCGTAGTAACCATGCAGTTAGCTGCTGCTGTTATTCCGTTTTCTCTACCTGACAACCCCGTCAAGCAGCATTCATTGTCATCTTCTAAGTACAGGAGAGGAAACTGGTGCATAAACAGGTTACAGCTGCAGAGACGTCATCCAACAGTGCGCTGGTGTTCTGCCCTCCCACCGGCCTCATTTCATTACTTAAGGGCAGCTTCTTTCTCGTCATTGATGGGTTTACTTGTGGAGGAGGTTGTTTTAATGGTGCAGGGCTGTGTAAAATGGCCAACACTGATGGATGATTTGGCCTTGTGTTATGCACTCTTTAGAGTCACAGAATGAAAATATCTAACCACCTGCCACACACTCATACTCGTTGACTGCGGTAACATGTCCACACTTTGGTCATCCAGATCTCTCTCCATCCCTCAGTGATAGTTCTCACAGCACTCCGGAGAGCCTGTCCCTTGTTGGAGAGCCGGATTGTTAAACGTTCTTCCTTCTATTGAACTGAAATCTCTGTCCATGCAACTCCCACCTATTGGTCTTATTCTCTTCTCTCTGCAGCTACGCACAGCCTCTCCCTCTTGACATGCTTGCTTTAGGGTACTTGGAGACAATGATCCTGGCCTCCCCAAGTCTCCTCTCCTGGACTATGTATAGCCAGGTCATATCTCTGGGGGTGGGTGGGGTGGGTGGATACAGTTCTGGTCTGCTTCCTGACCAGCTTGTTCAATTTTACACCTAATACAAACAGGGCTATCCTTTGAGGGGCTAAGAAAGAGAAGGAGCACATCCTTGACCCCAGCCCCTCTGCACCCATCTCCTACCTCCTTAGTGTGGGCATCCTTTATTGTAGTTCTTTCCCCTCACTTCCCATTCACCCGGCTCTGCTAGAGTACAGCAGAGCCCCAGGTATGTGGGGAAAATGGAAGATTTCTCTGCAGATGTCAGTGAGATGCCAGCACATCTGGCTGACCAGAGGGGCATCTTCTGTGGAGAGAATGAGAAAGATGGGAGATACAGAAAGCAGATGAGTTTGGTTGGCCCACATGTGTGCTGCCGGCCACTCTGCTTGTCCACTGTAGAGCCGTTCCACCTGGAGGTAACTGACAGGTAAAAGAGGCCCTTGTTCTTCCAGAACATACTCCCTAAAGAGAAACAGCCCCCAGCTTCTTGTGCCTGAATCCGTATCCATATACCACCGACATGACCGGCTGGCAGTGGTAGTGACAGAACCCAGAGATGGGAAGAGACATAGGTTATCCCTGCATTAGAAGAAGTTCTCTGCATTTGAAGCCTTATCCTTGTAAATCAACCCTTTCCTAACCCTTCCTCTGTACCAACACTTAAATACTGCTTAGAATTCATAAAATCCACTGAAGGATTACCGTAGTGTGCATCCTCTTCCAGCCCTCTTTCACCCTGGCCGGTAGAGGAAGAACACACACTGACTAGAGAGAGAAGGATGGAAGTAGAGAGGGCCGTGTGGGGCATATTCTAGGTGTTGAGCTGGCCTGCATCCTTGCCCTGAATCCACTTTGTCTTTGTTCACTCTTTGAACTGGGAGTTTATATCCTTGTAGTAAGATCCGGGGCATCTCTGGCCAGATTACAGGAATTAGGTCTAAAGGAGAGGACATCAGGAGTGTTTAGCAGATTGACAAGGTTGTACAGAGTTCAGCAATCAGGTGGATAGGCCAAATCTGCGTCGCCGGGTCTTCTCTGAGGTAGTGCAGCCACTGATTCACACCCAGGGGGTTTAAGGACTTTTCCCTTTAGAATGAGAACCCAGCTTTGTGCTTCCAGCCACTCACTCACCCTAAAGCCAGGGCGGAGTGAAGGGGAAGTCTGAGAACCAGAAGGTGACGGTGGCAGAGAGAGAATAACCTGAGGTCAGGAGCCTTGGCTTCTAGCTCTGGTCTGCAGTTCCCTCCGTAGTCATTTGCCCTCCCTGTGCCTTTATTTCCTAATCCAAGGGGATTAGACTGGGTCATCTGATCGCCATGTGCGAAATGTGAGCTTTATTATCATAAAAAGGAAAAGAATGTAGCAATCTGTTGTAGAGTTTGCATTTCTGAAACCACAGGCCTGCCGCCTTCTTTGGCTATTTGAGGTAGCAAAACTGTGCTGGAAAGCTTAAGCACTTTGAAAAGCTTGCAGCCAAGTCTGCAGTCCTCATGGAGTAAGCAAGATATAAAACATAATTTTAGCCTGACAGTTTTAATAGCATAAAAAACCCAGCAATTCAGCACTTCAAGAATAATTCCAAATTGGGGGTAGGGAGCAGAAACACCAAGTAAAATGATGTCAAGCATTAAGGCAGAGTTTCTACTTAAGAATGCAAAAATATTAATCTTCCAAAAATGTTTTCTCATTGATGCTGTTGGGCAGACTCTCCTGAACCTCAGTCAACAAGGCATCTGGATGTTTTGATGATAAATAACTATTTCAACCAACCGCCATTTGAGAAGTGTGGGCTGCCCTTGAGACATGAACATGATCAACTGGGTGCACCATCGCACTGCTCCTTACCAATGCAGACTCAGGATGGGTGCACACAGAACCAAGGGACGAACAAGGCCATCTGCCTGGCTGTGGGGGGGATGAAAATACCAGAACATGTATTTAAATTTCTTTTATATCATTCTTTTTAGGTTGATTGCTTGTGTCTATCTTCTGATGTGCGTCACCCATCAGTGCAGTAGTATTTGTATGTAATGTAGATAAAGAAATGGCATATGTGGGGATACATGCTTAGATTTTTATTGCTAGAGTTCTGAAAAAGCTTAGAGTCCACAGGTCTAAGGGTCCCTTCTCGGGGCTCTGTGGGCAGGTCTTTTTATCTCTGGTGACTTCTAGTCCGTGGAAATGTGGAGACCTTAGGGCAATTCCTTACCCACCAGAGCCCCCCCCAAATGCAAGCGCATGCTGCTTTCTCTCTGGGTCCCTTCTCGGGCCCTTCAACCTGAACCCTAGGAAGTGGTCAGCCTAACTGTGTGATCTTACTATGAGATTCACTTCTAGTTCCCTTCATTCACCAAGCTTTTTATTCCCCTAAGAAAAATATTTCATGCATATGACTCGAATTTACCACAAAATCATCATTTAAAAAATTAGACATGGAGCCATGCTTCTGTATGTTCGTAGTTAGGGTGACCTGGCAGGGTGACCTCTTGATCAGCAGTGCCTTCTGGCCCTTCTCTACTTTCCAGCTTGGGGAGTTGATTGGTTAAAGAAGTGAAACCCCCCAAAGGATGGAGCTCAGGACCACTGGGAATGGGGTATTCAGGGACTAAAGAGAAGTTTGACACCTAAATAATGCTTTTGTTTCTGAAACATCCCTTAGAAAGTGAATCATTATGTAAGTTAGCAGGACTACTTATTTTACAAGGAAGGAACTAAGACTCTGAAACTTGACCTGCTCATGGTTCCTCAACAGCCAGTGCACTTAGGCCTCTTCTTGGAGAAGAGCAGCCTTCCCGACCCCGCTGGCCCAGGATCTCTCCAAGTGAGATCCTTTCCTCAGTCCCCTCCAATACCCTCTGTAATGTTTGAAGCAGACAGGGGGAGGAAAGGCCTGGAAACAAAAATACAACAGAAGGTGCCTTGCAGCGTATGTAGGAGTATGTAATCTAAATTAAGCTCAGGAGTAAATGAGGATTTGGGCAGTCTGCCTCCCTGACACACTTGTTCCCCTAAAATAGCTCTTTACCCTTAAAATATCACCCTCCTACTATGGGTGAACTGTCATCATCGTTTTTGCCGTCACAGTTGACCAGAATTTTTACAGCACCCATCTGAGCTGGAACAGCATAGCCCCCACTTAAAACTGAAAGCGTCTCTATGGGGAAGCTCTTGGAAGGCTTGCTTGGTTAGGGAAAGAATCTTTCTCCTTGTAATGTCCTTTTCCTAGATCTGATGTAGCCAGTGATTAAGGCCACTCACCTATGATTCTTCCCAATGATCAAAGGAAGATGCTGGCTTAATTCAAGCTACTTGGAGTATTAGTTTTCTAAAGCTGCCATAACAAGATATAGACAAACAAAATTTATTGTCTCAGTTTGGAGACTGAAGGTCTGAGATCAAGGTGTTGGCAGGGTTGGTTCCTTCTGATAGTGATGAGGGAGAGTCTTTTCCCTGGTTCTCTCCTGGCTTCTGGTGGTTTGCTGGCCATCTTTGGTGTTCCTTGGCTTGTAGATGCATCACCCTGATCTCTCCCTTCATCTTCACTTCTCCCTGTGTGTGTCTCTGTGTCCCAATTTCCCCTTTCTATAAGGACACCAGTCATATTGGATCAGGGCCCACCCAATGACCTCATTTTAACTTGATTGCCTTTATAAAGACCCTGTCTCCAAATAAGATCACATTCTGAGGTACCAGGGGTTAGGACTTCAACATATGAGTTTTAGGGAGACACAGTTCAATCCTTAACATTTGGGGAAGTATAAATTGGCTCTACCTAGAAATGCATGCTGGGCCCAGATAGATATCAAACATGAGTGAAGCAGGCGGTTCCAAGAGTGTTAACAGGGACTGTTGGGAATGGGGGCGAGACTGAAAGTCCACCCCTTATCTGAAAGGGCCATTGCTATTCAGCTTCAGCCCCCTGTCATTTTGCAGAAACGAAGGACCAGTTTATCAGATTTTCTGAAAAAAATATGGATTTTTTAAATCGAAATTCGAAATTTCTGAAACATTATACAGACCAAGCAGAATATATTTATGGGCTAAATTCAACCCAAGAACCACATCTCAGCCTGGAGCCCCCTGGTTTTAATCTCTGACCTAGAAGCCACAGTTTTTCCTATCTACAGTATAGTCATAAACTTTATGTGCGTGCACTACAAATTTAGTGGACGTGAGACAGAACTATTCTGTGTGTTGTAAATGTAAATATGGAAGTGTGCGTGTGTGTGTCTGTAGCAATTTGAAATTAACATCCTGTAGGATCCAAATTAAGATGAATGTAGTTATTTATCTGGATTGATCATTAAAGCAAAGTACCACATTCCTAAAAAGAACTTTTGATCCAGCCCTTTCTGTTTGAGGAATTTAAGTCGGGTGGTCTTTAGAATGTTTACAAATGACTACTGAAGAACACATGAAGTTGGATAAAGAAGTTGGTAGAAATAGTTGTAACTACTTTCTTTTCTTTAATGCCCTGGAGTCTGGGCATCAGAAGGATTTAAGGTGAAAGCACCTGGTGAGTGTTGATCGTTTGAATCTATAAGGCATGAAAAGCACACTAAGCACCGTGAGATAGAGCTGATGCAGGAGCCTCCCCTGAAAAGTACCAAAACTCCATCTTCTCTCCTCTTCGCTACTTATCATTGCCATCACTTAAACATCTGTTGTCTTTGTGGTGGCAGGGAGGTGGTGAATGAGATAGCAAGGTGGAAAATGACAGCCTGATCATCCCCCTGAAACCTGTATGTTATACTCTCTTATTTAGAATTTAATAATAGGCTAGAAAGAAAGAGTATTCTAGGTCTGTATTTTATGCTCCTAAGTAGTTCACACTATAGGCAGTATAGGCAGAATATCAAATAATATGTACTGAGGATTATGTGCTGCTTTAAATCATAATACAATGTTCAAGGGAGAAAATTGAAATCCATTTTTTATGCTCGAACCACAGGCCATAAAATATAGTGATCCTGACTTCTAACTGTAGCTTGCACACTGTTTATGGTTTGGGAGAATTGGTGCTATGAGTCTGACACACCAGAGCCTAATTCCAAGGTGGCAAATGGCATCTGCCCCAAAAATCTGAGGACTGATACTAAGTGTGACCTGGCATCTCTGCAGGCTAGGTAATTTCTGCTGCTGCAAAAGCACTTTCTAAAAATAGGAATAACAATCAAAGGCTCTATGAATTTAATTCAGCTTTGACTGACTTAGCGCGCCCTAGACATGCGTCACCGTGAATCACTGGAAAGAAAGAAGGGAAGAAAATAGACTTGAGTGAAGTTTTGGAGTAGCTTCCTTGTAGACCTGGCCCTTGCAGCCTTGCTCCGTCCTCGTCTTCATCCTCATCCTCATCCTCATCACTTTGGCTGTGGTGTAGCATGGAGTAGAGCCCAGCTTGGAAGGGACCAGAGAAAAATGGAAAGAGGACATTTGTGACTGCTCACTATCACGTCCAAAAGCCTGGATGGGAAGGGCTCAGATGAGTGGACTTTTTCTGTAGATTCTGAGACCTCCCATAAACAAAACTGAAATTAGATAGCAGTCACCACACTGAAGGTGAGTGATGGAACAAGCTAAACCAGAGTGAAAGATGACTTGACCGTAGCTATTGTGTTCTGCAGCATTTGCATGACAAACACGTGGACTCTTCAGGTAGCTCCGCTGCTTTCTGATGATTTGACGTCTCCCATTAACTCTGCACAAAATAGAAAATTCTTTGTAAAAGCCCATCAGAAATGCTGACATCTTTGGAAAGGTGCTGAGTTGAGCTGAGACTACAGCATTACCTGTCTGATGGAAAGTTAAGGGCAACCACATATTCATTGGTTTTTTTTTTTTTTTGAAATAAAAGGTGTGAAAGCTGCCCTAATAAGCTTTGAGTGAGGCATATTGGGAGGAGGTGGAAAAAAACTTCGAAACCACATGTATAGTGGTTCTGGCATTGAAGCATGAGCCACACCCGTCACAGGGACCCAGCCACTGAACACGTCTCAGAGCCTTGCAGTGAGGTTTGTAGCCTCTTACCCTCTCACCCCAGCCTCCAGCTGTTAAGAAATGCAGTGAGTGGGGCCAGCCCCATGGCCAAATGGTTAAGTTCGCGCTCCGCTTCGGCAGCCCAGGTCAGTTCGGATCCTGGGCGCGGACATGGCACCACTCCTCAAGCCATGCTGAGATGGCATCCCACGTGCCACAACTAGAAGGACCCACAACTAAAAATATACAACTATGTACTGGGGGGGGCTTTGGGGAGAAAAAGGGAAAAATAAAAAATCTTTAAAAAAAAAAAAAGAAATGCAGTGAAGACTGAGTTCTTGACATTCCTGTTGCCAAGACAGAGTTTCTGAGCCCTGGCAGTGTGTGTGTGTGTGTGCGTGTGTGTGCTCATGCATGTGTGTGTGCATGTGCACATGTGTGTGTGTGTCAGGAGAGGAGTCAGGGCTTGCAAGCCCCACGCTGGATATCCAGGAACAAAGCCCCATCTTGTCAGGCTCTTCCAGGCCTCTATGTTGGTGACTGGCAGCTGTCCCAGCCGCCTGTACATTTCTCAATGATACAGTAAGTGTGGAGGACAAAGAGCTGCGTTTTGACCCAGCAGGAGCAGAATCAATCTCAGTGTTTAAAACTGGCAAAGGTTTAAAAAAAAAAAAAAAGTGGCCATCACTGGGGGATAGCGAGTCTTGTTTAGTTTTCTATTTCATAGCTTTCTGAAATGGCTGATTATTCCAGCAGCATTTCAGATTGAGGCCCAGGGGATGGGAAGGACATAGCTATTTCAACTACAGGCTGATCAGAGGATGGGTGAATCTTCCGGCAGCTCCATGACCACATTTTAAGAGCTTCCTCTTAACCCAAAATAGTTAGATAAGGGGAGGCCTTTTAGTTCCCCAGTGATTTTTCTCCTAATTGTTATTGGGATTCTCTGTGATGGTTATTCTTGTTTGTTATTAATCTGAGCAGATGGCAGAAAGAAAGACCCTGTTTCTTGGAATATTTGGCTAAGTAAAAGAAGAATCAACCTTTCTATGTTTAGAGACAACCACTCAGGGTGATGGTCCATGACAGAATATTATCTAAGACTTTAGAGCCCTTTGCAGTTGATACAGTACTTTCCCATCAGCACCACAAGCCCGCAAGGTGGCTGCTCTTGGGAATCCTGTCTTGTAGGTGAGGAAACTGAGCTAATAATCTTAGAGATGATAAGCAGCAAAGAGAAACACATCTTCCAAATCTAAGACTTTCCTCTTTCAGGTAAAGATGCTGAGAAAAATGTTGAGTTTGGTTTAATTTTTATGTTGAACAGAATTTCCCTCCCAGGTTCCTGTGCTTGGGTAAGGCTTGTGTAGGATGGTGGAGTTCTACATCGGTGGCTCAGGCTCAAGTATACAAATGTCCTCGAGGGAGAGATAAGCCATGGAAGGAAGAGGGAAGAGGAGATTTTTCTCCCATCTTGGAGCTAACTGAGCTTTTTATTGCATTTCAGTAATACTGTCCACACTAAGTAGGAAGGTCTGAATCACTTGATGCTGAGGTTTGGGTTTCAAGACACTTGTGTCTGATGCAATGTGGGAAGGAACGTGGTCCCACAATGTGATCCCTTGGTCAGTGGCATCAGCATCACTTAGGAACTTGTTAAATGCATGTTTTCAGGCCCCACCCAGACTCTGAATCAGAAATTCTGAGGATGGGGTCCAGAAATCTGCATCTTAGCAAGTGTGATTCTCACGTGCACTAAAGTTTGAGAGGCAGTGGTCTGGCAGAAGGAACAATCGAAGACTGTGAGGCTGAAACTTATATTGAAAGCTCCATCCACTATTTCTTAGCTGGGTTCCTGTCGAGCCTTAGTTTCCATATCTGTAAGATGGACCTCCCACCAAGGTCATCAGGAACACTAGATGAAGTAAATCTCATTATTATAGTAGATACAATAATTATACTAGATAATGAACATAGTTCCTTCCCTCTCATTGTGAATCTGAATGCCATGTTATGCTAGACTCTATCAGTCAGAATAAGTCATGCGAGTTGCCCAAACAGGCATACCCTGAATCCCAATGGTTTAAGGCAGTAAAGGTTTATTTTTCACTGAAGTAAAGCCTAGTGTGCGGATCAGATGGCCTCTACCCATCATGTAGCCATTACATATTTGTAGAACGCATGGCTCCAACATCTCAATAGCAAGGGAAGAGGGAGTAGAGGAGATGCACACACCACTTCTGCTCATAATCTACTAACCAGAACTAGGCTCAGGACCCCAGTCCACGGCAGGGGGGGCTGGGAAAGGTAGAGGAGCACTGGGGTATGTGATGAGCACAAGGTGGCTGAGCCTCACCTCCCTTGAGCCAACGCTTGTCATGGCTCTTTGTTTGAAGGTTGTGCTGGTCATGGCTCCAGTCATATAAAAGGGACTGTCACATCTCAAAAAGACTTGACTAAAAGACTTTTGTGGTACATATATACAATGGAATATTATTCATCCTTAAAAGGAAAGAAATCCTGCCATTTGCAACAATATGGATGAACCTGCAGGTCATTATGCTAAGTGAAATAAGCCAGACATAGACAAATGTTGCATGAACTCACTCAATGTAGAATCTTAAAAAACCAAAACAAAAAAACTTGAACTCATAGTAACAGAGAGTAGAATGGTGATTACCAGAGGCTGGGGAGTGTGGGAAAAGGGGGAGATATTGCTCAGAGTACAAACTTTTAGTTATAAGGTGAATAAATTCTGGAGACCTAATGAACAGCATGGCAACTATAGTTAACAGTAATGTATACTTGAAAGTTCCTAGGAAAGCACATCTCAAGAGTTCTCACCACACACACACACAATGATAACTTACTGTGGGAGGTAATAGGTATGTTAATTAATTTGATTGTGATAATCATTTCACAATGTATACAGATATCAAAATATCACACTGTACACCTTAAATATATCCAGTTTTCATTCGTCAAAACTAAAAGTAAGTAAAAGCCTTTTCACAGTTGGCTGAAGGAAAGTGGCAGCCAATTGGCCATTGGAATGCTGAGACTGGTTAACCTGAGGGGAGCAGACCATGCGGAGAGTCTGTGAGGGTCTCTGTTGGAGCCAGTGTCACTACATGTCCAAGATCTGCATCGATGAATGAATTGCTCCTGAGGTCTAGTTTAGTAAAGTGACTCATGGAAATCAAAATAATCTCAATTAGAGAAAAATGAGACCCAAAATAAACACTGCTCCTGTTTAAAGAAAAAACTAGCTTAAGTACAACTGGGAGACAGCACAAAGGAGTGGTGGACCTTGAGCCGAGTGAGTTTATTCTCTGTGAGTTTCAGGTTAACTTCCCAGGGACACGAGTTACTAAGGGAGGCCATGGAACCTCAGCTTCAACAAATTGATTCTATTGGAAAGTATTGATTAGACATCTGCTGTGTACACAACAGTGTACTAGGTATCAGTTAAAAGAGCTAGATAATCATCCCTCTGAAAGGATCAAGACTAGCTAGTCAAGGAATACTCATTGTTCTCTGGTTTCGTCTGGGAGAGAGATGCTAAAGGCAAGTTCTGTGGAGAAAATGTGAGTCTATCTGGAGCACATTCTTCTATTGGTGAAAATTTATTTTAGACTATTTCTCTTTCCATTTTTTTTTAAATGTTCCCGAAAGAATGGGGTTGGGGCAGGGCTCTGGGTAATTTAAACGTTGAATAGTCTAAACATTTGATTCAGAGTTATTTTCTCTTATGAGCATTCCTATGAACAGCTTCAACTCGAGTTGTCAGGCCACTTTTCTTGCAGTACATTTTCTCTTTCTTTCCTACAATCTTTTGATCCCCTTATAAACTAAACAATCATAAGAATGTGTCATTTCTATCATACTTTTATCCCTGAAAGGATCTCTCAGAGCCATTTGTGAATTTACCAGGAGGCAATGAATAAACTATGAGTTAAATCATCTTATGAAGCATCCAAAGTATCTTTCAAACTTTGGTTGAAAGATAATTTTGTTGCATGGAATCCTCCCGCAGAATCCGGTCCAGTGCGTTCAGGCTGACTTATTCGGAGATTGTTTTTCACTGTGGGCTTTGTGCCTGTGTCTCAAGGAGCCCATTTGTGGGTTTCTTCACATACTTCACAACTGCATCTTCTGGATCTGAAAAAATAATGGAATTAGAGCTCCAGCAGGCAGTCATTCTCACTGCCTTTAATACCTTTAATTTTATAGATAAAGAAACAGAGGCCAAAAGAGGTTAAGCTGCCAGCCAAGTTCACATGGTTATTTCTGGCTATACTAGGATGTGGAACCAAGTCCTCTTTAAGAAACATTTTCAGTAATCAAAAGGCCTGTGATAAAAGGAATCCTTAAATTCTCCCCTCGGTAGGTTCTTCCATCCCACTTGGCTAGAAGAATTAAATTGAGTTCAATGCATACATGAGAGATGTTTCCGCATGTAGCTACCTGCTAGTTCATCACAGCTGAGGAAGCTTCATTAATAATTTTGAAGAAAGAGCAGGTACTTTGGAGGATTCTTCAGCTGGTGCTTAGTTTGGAGTTGGCCTATTCTGGTGATTCCACCATTCAAATGATAAATGAAGCGCCGATCATTTATACTTATGAAGAATTCTTTGTTCTTTGTTTCAATGGGGAAGTTGGCATTTCCAGTCTCCAGAGTACTTCCCGTGGTATGTAGTGCTCTTTCTCACCTACCAAATTTGGCTTCGGGTTTTTATGTGATTTTTCTGCAGCTCCTCTATAGAGCTTGCACGCAGTCCTGAATATTTAAATAGCAGAACTGGATCACAACTGAGAAATGTGCAGTCTAGTTGTTTTCCATGTGTCCCCGCACATCTTTGTTTACTGGCAAAACACCTCAAATCTCATGCAAAATGCTAATAAGGTAATTCACTTTATTTATCTTCATTTTGTTCATTTCACTCTTCTTGGTTAGAATGCAAAGATTTTTATAATAGCCTCGAAAATTGCATATATGCTAACTAAATAGTAATTTTTAGACAGAATATAAACAGGAAAAATTATCCAAAGATACAAACCCTGGAAAATCGCTTTTCCTTCTGATTCTAAAGGCAATTCCTTTGACATATAAGTGAATACGCTTCTATTTTAGGAAGTGTGATTCTGAAAATTTTATGTTCAGTGCCCATTGAAACATTAAAACAATAGTTCTTCAAAATGGGCAGCCTTGTTAGTTCCTTTGGAAAAAAGTAGGCAGACAGATAAATAGTGGGTGCTGACGGGTAATCAATGTGTTTCATAACTTTTCAACCTCCCATAAATCCAGCCGTCCTTTTGACTGTTCTGATTTCCCTTGTTTTCCTCCTCTTCATGTTGTAACTTATCAAGCTCCGTCTTAAAAGATGCTAAGACAGGTAATTGCATCTTCCTGTGTATTAAAATTACGTACACCGGAGCTGCCCTCCCCAAATTTGATTGAACCATTGAATCTGCCACCTACACGGTCCAACCCAAGAAGCCGGGTCCATGTCCCATCCAAGAGAAGCCATGAGCTTGCCCTCCTTAAGTGACTTGGTGCTGCCTTTATATTTGTCGAAGTTGAGTGGGTGGTTTCTGCCTGGAGCCTGCCATGTCAGCACAGTTGGAGCACCTCCCCTGCCCAGTGTAGGCTCTCGCTCTGTCTGGGTTCTCTGTCACCTTGCTCTCTCTATTCACAGTCCTTAACCAACAGAGCCATTCAAGAGCCACAGCCTGCAAAATCTGATTCTCACCCCACAGTCAACAGCAATGCAACCGAGAGATGCTGAAGCATTTCCCATGAGGGAACTGTAAAGTCATGTAACTTTGTCTAGGCAAAAATAAAATAAGTCTATTCATTTTTTTTAAAAGCCTATGTATAATGTCGGGTTTAGACTATCTAAGAAATTAGTTAAAATTTGTCATAAATTTATCTCATGTGTTACATGATATCAGTTTACTAATTTATTAATAATGGAATGCTGAGGTATATGTAAAAATATATAGAACAGTTTCTTAAACATTAAAACTCTCAATTTCCATGAAAGTTTTCAAGCTGCCTGTTTGACAAGTAAACTTGATTTAAGGAGAAATTCTGATCTTTATGTCTGTCAAAGTCATCCTCCTGTTGAGTTGATAAGGCCCTAAGGCCATGGACCCTTTGAGAGGAGCTAAATCATCGTTGGAAGGCCAATTAATAGATGGGCAATAAATCCTCTTACAAGAAGCATGTTCTTAGCTGCCACAGTGGAGGAACTCATAGCCACAGCCACACCCTGCAGCTGTAATCCAGCTGGAGAGCCACCAAAAGTCTAATCCTCACATGGGCCAAAGCATGAGCAAGGGACAGATGTCCGGAAGCCACAGTGGAGCAAGAGAACTCAGCAGAGAGAGAGTGTGTGTAAAAAACACCCAACAGTAACCAAAACAACATGCCAACTAAGAAAAGCCAATGCATCTTCCAGATATTTTATTCATGATGATGGTGATGAAGAGGAAGAGGATATGATGTTCGGGCTTCCATCCTGTACTGCCACCCACAGTCCATAAATCAGACTGTACAATGGTTAAAGACTTGCCTAACTGTTGTTAGTCATCAGCATCATTCTCTGTGGCCCCTTGGCAGTGCTGTTTTTCAGTCTAATGTGTTGAAGGACCAGCATATTACATCTTTCTTATGGGGGTAAGAGCTACACAGCACATGACTAAAGAATCGCCTGTTTTGCATTGAGGAACCAAAATAATTTGCATTGAGTAAGCTCTGACAGTTCTTGTGGTTCCACTCCACTGGTTTATGCTTTACGGACAGCGTTTTCAGGCACTGCTGACACGCTAGGCAAGGGGCCGGCCGGAGGGCCAAATCCGGCCCACCACTTAATCTTTGTAAATAAAGCTTTCTTGGAACACAGACTTGCTTTTCATTTATGTAATACCTATGGCTACTTTCACATTATAGTGGCAAAGTAGAGTAGTTGTGACAGAGGCCATGTGGTGCACCAAACCTAAAGTATTTACTGTCTGGTCCTCTGAAGAAGAAAGAGATGACACATTTAAATTTCCAGACTGAAGACATTTAGAGAAGATGGCCTTGCTTTCACAGTATTGACACTAGATCCATCTGAAAAGTACATAAGCTTAAAATATCTCCATTAGAGGGAGAAATTCTATTTATCTTCACACAAATAGGTTTTTCTTTGTGCTAATTTCGCTGATCATCAAAATGGTTCCATTTACTTTTACTTATTAGTCCAAATCTGAAGCACCGTATTGCTTTACAAATTATCCTAGGGATACTGTCCATTCTTTTCCATTTGATTTATTACCTGAGCAATTAGAGAAGCTATTTCAAGGACAACCAGGTACCATCGAAAGCTGTGTGGCTCAGCTGTTGGCCAGCTAAGAAGGGCCTGCTTCTCCAGGAAGGAGAGACAGGGAATCGATTTTAGCAGAAGATGCGTGTTGTCTCAAGAAAGAAAGCGCCCCTGCAATGCCAAGCAGGCCTCTCTTGAAAAGGAACATCCACAGGGGATGAGTGTCTTCTTGTTTATGCTGCTGAAGCCAGATTCCAAGGCCTGCAGGAAGAGGCGGGGGCCAGTGAGAGGGACACCAGTGAGTAGAAGTCAAAAACTAACATGGGACTCCTTGAGCGCAAGACAGGCCTAACCTCAAAACTCTCACCTCAGGACAGGTGACACAGGTGATACCTAAACCAGGTGTCTCGCAGATATGAAGAGAGATTGTGGCAGCAACTCCAGGAAATTTCAAAACCATAGATTTGTGGGATGTGTGTAAAACTGGTGACAAGAGACGGACACAACACTTATGGCATGAAGAAAGCCATGTGTGTTTTTGATGCACACATAATGTCAGGAATCCGTTTTCTAACTAGAGAAAGGAGGTGCTGAGAGGGGTCCCTGGGTGTTGCTGTGGTTGATCCTGTCCCCTCCACCAGCTTCTCCGTGAACACGGACCTGGCTGAGAAGGGTGGCTTTCAGGGCTCTGAGTGGCCGAGTGTTCCTATCCCCTGCGTAGGATGCTGCTTTCAGACCAGCTCAGCCTCCCAATGACCCCTTGTTGAAGACACAGTGCGGTCAGGATGCCGGCCGTTCTCGGCGCTCTCCTGGAAAGAGGCGATGGCTCCTGACTGAGGAGAATGTTCTACAATCAGCCGTTTCCCTCAGGATGGAGGAGGGTGTTTATCTGACACCTCAGGAGTTGGTTTGGCGGTGCCTCCTGTGAGGGACAGTACAGTCCCAGCCCAGGGCTGCTAATGGATTCTGCCCAGGTTTTCCCTGGCTCCTTCTGGGGCATTTCGATGTGGAGATCTGCCTGCTCGCTTGCTGGTGCTGCCGTGGTCTTTGACTTCCCTCTCGTTTCACATGTCGAAGTGCACGTGCAGGAGAGTGAGGGTGTCTGTGTGCTGTGTATCTGATGTGCCCAGAATGTGAGGAAATAAAACAAAAAAGGACATAAGGCAGGGAAGAGGACGTGGACTAACATTCACCAGGCTGGGAGCTGACAGCCCTGTGGTAGGTATGTTATATAAATTTGTGGTCTCTTTTTAGGAACATATTTGAGGGGAACAGTCTCTTCTCACAAGGGATCCCCCAATGCATTGGGTCGATAAGGCCAAGAAAGCAGTGAGAAATCATTTGTATTTGTTTCCTATCTAATCAAGATAAAGTCTACTTGAAGCATCCATAGCACTCCCCATTTTTGCGTTCTTTTTCCTCTTTCCCTTTCCCATATAAGTAGATCCTTTCCTGGACCAAAAAAAAAACCATTCCATTATTCCTGACCGCTTTAAAATTAACAAAAAGATTTTCAAAGAATGCGAAAATGCAAATCCAGACTGGTTAGACATTCCTAAAACCCATAATGCTACTGGGGAGAAAAATGGGGTGTGTGGTGAGGAGGGGGTCCTTTTTGTTGCATATACACAAAAATGTATTTTGTGAAAGATTATCAGGGCACGGGAAAGCACTTATAGTTTAATGAGAATAACCACATTCTGTGCCACTCCTTTGGGCTGTCAGGCTATTGGTTTAAAAATGAAGCTTCACATTTAACATTGTGGAGAGATGTCTCAGGAAACAGTAGAGGAAATGAGATTTTCATAAAAGAGAAGTATAGAAAACTTTGCAAAATAATGTGACCAAAATCCCCTCCACTCAAGCATCTGAGACTCATTGGGGCTTTTGTGTTTTTGTCTCCAGGTTTCTAAACAGCATGGGATCTCATCTGAACTTGAGTTGTTATTTTTTCCAGAAATAGGAGTGCAGGAGAGGCCCTGGGAGGCAGCTGGGGAAAAATAGCTGCAGACTCATTCAATGAAGAGGGGAAAGGAGGCCAGGGGATTCCTGCCACCTGTCTCCTGGCTTCTGCCTCACTTCTACCCTCAGACCCCTCCTTGGGAAGTGCTAACGTCCCCGAGATGAGAGATGGGCCCATTGGGGGTGAACATGAAAAAGCATGAGCTGCACATGTTCTGCAGGTCCTAGGAGGAGTCCAGGTGTCACAGTCAGAGTGGGACATGAGAGGAGCATCCTAGGGCCTATTTCCAACTTCTCATCCCTCGCCTTGCTTTGGAAAGTGATCAAGGGCTATATATGCTGTTTATTGAGGACCAGCAAAGCAGGGGCACTGGGAAAATCTGGAACCATAATACTTTTTGAATGAATACATGAATGCGTAGATGAATAAGTATATACTCTTAGGACGTTTTTGTATTGTCTGGGCTGTGCGTGTCAACATAATCATGATATTGTCTATTACAGTCACTCATCAGTGACCCCCAGAGCTTCCTCTCTTCATTTGAATCGCTCTTTGTCCTTTCCCAAGAGATCTGTGTTCATCCAAAGCAATATTCTTTAAAGAAGTAGGGAAAATAAGTACAGGGATACCCAGATAAGGCTCAAGTTAAGAAAAGTCTACCTAGATTCCTGTGCATACTGGAAGTTCCTGCTTGAGCCTGAATCAGGTTTTTTGCTGAGTTTCAGACAGTTGTGGGTATGTTTGGTGGGCATGTTCTGAGTCCACCAGAGGTCTACTCTCTTGCAGGAGGTGGGCTCCATTGACATGGACATCTATGTCCTCACGCTGGGCAGACATCTTTAGCAGTAGTTGAAATGACCAGGTGTTGTCAGGTGGCTTTTCCAGCAGTAAAGGCAAGAGACCTCACTGAAGGGGCTAAGGCATAAAAGGAAGGAAATGGCCAGTGTCATTTGATAATGATAGGACATGTTTGGGGGACATGTTAAAAACCAAGCGAGGACTCCCAGAAATAACTGGGATAATTTGCGAAGATTGGAGATTATGTGTCTGTGGGACACAGGGAGTATTGTGTGCAAGTCATCCAAATATTTTTCTTAACTTATTCCTCTTGGTTGGAGCGTTGTGCCCAGTTTGAGCCTCTACCTTTAAAGAGAAATGGTACAAAAATAATCTAGTCAGGATCGCCATTGTCTGTCACTCTGTCAATCACCAGAGCTGATATGCTTAGCTGACTGTCAAAGCAAATGTGTCCTTCTCCTTTGATATCTTCAGCCTCAAATCTGAACAGCTCCATCAAAAAGGAAGGGTCTCCCTACCGTGATCTTCCCATCCACCAAGGTTCCAACAGAAAACAGATGGTTCACTCATTATGAGAACTCGAGGAGGGTTTATTTACAACAGGACTGATTACAAAGGTGTGGGCAGGCTTCAGAATCCTTCTCAACACAGAGCTCCAGGCAGCCCCTGTCAAACAACCAGAGTTGACCAATGAGATGACTCTGTTTTTCAATGTGATTTATATAGATTACTGTTAGTTGCATCTTCCCTAAGAACCAAGAAAGCAGAAGACTGCTTATCTATTTTTACATGAAGAAGTTATAGATATGTGGGAGATTCTCAGATGCACCAGGTTAAGAGAGGAGGTAAATTCTGAACAGAGAAAGAACCCCATCATAGCTCCCCAAGGCCAGGAAGCTACACATCTCTAACTCCAGAGAGTTTTATTACATATCATATTTATCTTTTTAATTCCCATCTACCCGGCACCTTATCTAGAAAATGTTCAACAGATATATCTTGAATCATATTGAATTGAATATAATTAAACTGAAATATAATAAACACTAAATAAGTGTTAAACCCATTTGTCTAAATTATGGCTGCTAACTCCTTCAGGATCTTATTTCTACAAGATAGAAAACAGATCTCACTTCTTCCCCCTGTAGATGGAGGCCAACATCTTGCCCGCTCCATTTCTCGCCTGATTGCTCAATGATCTCCCTCAATTCAGCCAAGTGAACGACTGAACCCCCTTCAGGATATACAAAATATCTCCAAATCCTCACATGCTCTCTCATCTTCCCCATTTGCCTCTTCGGCACCCCAGCTATTGAAGCAGCCTCCTCCAACGTTTTATAATACCATCCAGAGCCCGTGTTCTCACACTTTAATGTGCATGTGAGTCTCCTGGCGATCTTGTTAAAACAGCACCGATTGCTGGGCCCACTCCCAGAGTTTCCGATTCAGTAGGCCTGGAGCCCAAGAATTTGCATGATTAACAAGTTCCCAGATGCTGCTGATGCTGCTGGCTCAGGGACCACCCTGTGAGAAGCACTGATTTAAAGGGATGCTTCATAGATCCTAAGGATACGTTCAAATTACTTGGGAAGCTTTAAAAAATATATGTCTGTGCTGGCGCTCAACGCTCATATATTCTGATTTAATTGGTCAAGAGTGTGGCCCAGCCATTGGTATTTTTTAAGCTAACATAGGTTATTCTAATGTGCTACAGGATTGGGAACCACTGACTCAGAAACAATGGAAATGGCAAAATGCTATAAGAGAAGGACGAAGGATAGCATTGAAGGTACAACATAAGGGTATGTTTTGTTCCCACTAGACTAGTGAAGTGTGGTAATTAGGGGCAGTAGTGATGTAGTGGTTTTGCCTCAATCTCAGTCTTTTGCCTTAACCTCTTAACCAGATCATATTAAATTTGTAGAAGACTCTGATGGAATGTTATTAAAAAATGCTTTGTGCTCCTAGGGAGAATGTTAACTTAGTAGGACTATCTATTGGAGGATTGAAAAAAGAAAGGAAGGGCTACAAAGAAAGGAGACGCTAAGGGCAAAAGATAAAACAGTATCTATTTGATGGCAGAAATTTATTATATAATCCACACACAGCCATTCTTGCTAATGTTTGTAGTTCTTATACTTAGCTCTCATTGAAGGCCTAAACCAATGTCTGGTATGTGATGCATGGATGGATGGACTCACACATGGACAGATGGGTGGATAGATGCATGCATGCACAGCCAGCCAGACAGATGCATGGATGGATGGGCAGATAAGATTAAGCTAAAGGTGACCAAAGCTCCTCAGTCACTTTGAAGTGACAGAATAGTGGACACTTTTTTTATTCCCACATTCTTTATCTTTTAACATCACATTGTTTTAGCATTTGTTTTGATTAATTTTTCATATAAAGGTAGCCTTATTGAAATGAGTATATTCTTTATTTAATTTCATTAGCTGTCTCAATTTCTGTTGTAACAACTCAGATTCTCTTTCAAAGTGCAGTCTTCCTGATTGCTAACATTGGCTTTATGGCAAATAATCCTAATAATTCTAAAAGTATTTGCTGTGTAGGCCCTCCGTTTTTGTCCTGTTTTTTTTTTGTTTTTTTTTTTAGTGGGTTTAATGCCTGGCAACACACGCAAGTCCCATTGTTATTCCCAGAATGATTTCAACTCAACATGACCAGAATTATTTCAGTATTTTCCCTGGTTATTACTTCACAATACCTTGTCTTAGCCTTGGGGCCTCACATTGGGGCCACAGCCTCTGATGAATAAAGCCAGAATCATTTCTCTCTTAACAGTAACCTATTTATCTGTTTGAGGTAAGAAACTTTTTTTCAAGTTATAAAAAGAATATTGCATGCTTTCTACTTATTTTTAAAGGAACTTTCACATCTGCTTCTCATTCAGTCCTCTCGACACTCCTATGCAGCAGGCAGGCTAGATGATTGATATGGCCATTTGTCATACGGAGAAACCCGGGCGCAGAGGTAAGGCAATGTAATGTACTGAGCGACCTTCTGGTTAATGGTGGAGGCAAGCCCGGAGGCAGGCTCTGGATCCCAGTCCATTTTCCCCTCTCTGGGCTATTTCCTATGCTGTAGCCAGGCTATTTGTTACTGGCTTGAGGGGAATGATGAAGAGGAAAAAAATAGAAAATTATTGACTGAAATTCCTAGAAAGAGTTGGGTGCGTTGATCAACAATTTTAAGAGTTTTTATGTCTAGTTTGCAGAGAAAGGGTAGAAGGGCGTAGTTCTGAGATATAAAAGCAAAATTGCTATCAGCCTTCCCAGAGGAACCTCTCTAGTGGCAGGAACACCTTATGCAAGCCCAGAGTCCTGGTCATCCCCATGGGCACAACTCCAGAGTTAAAGTATTATTAATTTACGTCCTCATCAAAAATCTGTTGAGCCCCTCCTGTGTGCCAGGCGCTACACTGAGCCTAGAAACACAGAGATAAATAAGACATAATTTGTGCCTTTGAAGCATTCATGGTCCAATTGAGAAGATCTTCGTGTAGATGGGTATTATCAGTGTAATGGATGAGGCCATGATCAAGCTGGGGGGACACAGCAGAGAGATTCACTAGTTCGGCCTGGTGGAGTAAGAGGGGGCATCGCAGCTTCTCTAAAACAGGGATATGTGGCTGGGTTATCTCAACGTGAATAAGAGAGAGAAGGTGAACAAGGTGTGGGGCCGCATTGCACTGACGTTGCAGGCCATGGTGAGAAGTGAGTCTCAACTTTATTCTTAGTGCAATGTCAAGCCACTGCAGGCTGTTAGCAAAGGAATGGAACAATGTGGCTAAGGCCTTCCCTTCCTCCCTTGCCCATTTTCAACACCAAAGTTCTAGGAAATCTGACAGAGACTGGCAATTAGAGGATTTCCTTTGCTCCGTTGCACAGGAATGAAAAGGCAGCAGCGTAAGAGGAATGCCAACTCATCCAAGGTCCCACCCCTGTGAGGTAGTGACCCACGCTGGTCACTGGTATGCATGGGACTGTCCCTGAAGCTATCCTGAAGGAGAGGGCACCTCTGGGGCTTTTGTCTTGCTTGAAACCTGCTGAGAAGCAGGAACTAAGAAAGTGAAAAAAGAAGATGTGAGACCTCTGAAAATCTAGGGAAGAAAAAGATTCCAGAAGTAGCTATTAGTCAAAGGTGTCATGTGATAGAAAAAGGTCAAGTAAAATGAGGACTTTACAAAGGCCACTGGATTTGGCAATGAAATCCTCAATGACCTTGACAGGAACTGATTCAGTAGAGCAAGGTTTCTCAGCCTCAGCACTGTTGACGCTTTGGACTGGACCATTCTTTATTGTGAGGTTTTCCTGTACATCATAGGAGGGTTAGCAGCATCCCTTGCCTCTACCCACTGGATGCCAGTAGCATCCTCCCCAATCATGACAACCAAAAATGTCTCCAGATGTTAGCAAAGGTACCCTGGGGGGTAAAATCGTCCCCAGTGGAGAACGTGTGCAATGGAATGGTATGGATGGAAGCCAAATTGTGATGGGTCTTTTGAGAGGTCTGGCAGCCAGGAGCAGGCAGGAGATGGCATTTCGCTGGGGGAGGAGGTGGGGTTAGGAGGAGGTTGGTGGTGGTGTTGTGTTTTGTTTCTAGTGGAGAACACATGTATTTGCCCTAGGGAAAGAACTAGAAGAGAGGGAAAGGTTAAAGACAAGGGATAGTCATGGGGCAACATTCATTTCATTATTTCACAAATGTTAAGTATCTTCAGTTACCACAATCCGTGCCAGGCACTGCGGAGCCATGGTGAGCAAACGAGGGGTTCTTTGTTCAAAAATGATTGAAAATTTCAAAACGACAGCAGAACATTGAACCCCCAACACAGGACCCTTCTAAGAAGGAGCCCCTGTACAACTGCCCAGGTCATAGGCTTGTGAAGCAGCCCTCGTGGTGAACGGGACAGATATGGCCCCCGCCTCACAGAGCTTAACCCCTGGGGTCCTGGAGAGATGGGTAAGAACAGGAAATGTAACAGGCACCAGATGGGGAGCCACAGGACTGCTGTGCATGCTGTAGAGGCACTTAACCAAGAGGGTAGTGAACAGAGGAAGTGATATTTAAGATTTAAGCTACAATCTTGGGGATTGTTGCAGTTAGCCAGACAAAGAGGAAGGGAAAGAGTGCTTAGATACAAGGAAGAACATGCAAATCTGGAAGGAATCAAGAGAAGAGGGTTATGTCTAGAGGACAGGATGGGGGGGATTCTTGGCAAGTGGCCAGATCATGAAAACTTTTATAGGACATTGGGTATTTTGACTCCCTCCTGCAGGCACTGGGAAGGCATGTATAGTTTTCAAACAGGGAGTGGTGGGACCAGATTTGCATCTGTCTGGGGTGGAGGAGGACTGGAGTGGGATAGGCTGGCAGCTACCAGGAGAGATGCTGGTGGCCTGCTTTCCCAAGGTGGTGGTGGTGGGCTGGAATGAAAAATGGTTTGGACTTGGTGGTTGATCGGCTGTCGAGGGTGAAGTACAAGGATAATGATTCCAGTTTCCTGGCTTGGGCAGCTCACTAAGGATGGGATGTAAAACTAGTGATCCGGAGGGGAAGAAGATGAATTAATTCATTTGGGACCCTTTAAGTTTGACAGCCTGGTAGGAGTATAAGGCGGCAATGGGAAAGGTGATCTGGAATGCAAAAATATGACTGGAGCGTATAGATTTTGGAGTCACGGGCATATAGATGCTAACTGAAGTCGTAAGTGTTGACAAGATGTTCCAAGGAGTGTGTATGGCATCAGAAGTGGTAGGATCCGGGTTAAATAATTGCTAAATAAGCACCAATTATGTTCTCTGTGGTCTCCTAGGAACTGGGGGTGCAGTGATAACCAAGGCCAGACAGAAATACCCCAGCCCTCATGGAACTGACGTTCTTGGGGAGGATCCCCAAGGAGGCATGGGGGACAGAATTCAGTGCTCCTTCCCTTTCCCCTGGCCCCAACACGCCATCTCCACTTGTTCCGTTTCCCATCTAGGCATCTGTTGGAAAACCCCGGTCTCCTCCTGCCTTAGGAGAGAGGACCTTGTTGTCTCTCATTCTCCACAAGTACCTCTGCGTTTTCTTTTTCCGTCTGTCTGAAAAGGCAGTTACCTCCCTCTGGGGCTGAGATGCAGAAAACCAAAGTCACTTCTGCTTTTCTTTTTCCTGAAATACAGATAGAGCTTCAGAGATCCAAACTTGAAAATCAGGACCCTCAAAACAATAAGCAGTTGTAAGTACTAATGAAAGCTGTGACCTTGCTGTTCTGAAGCCTGCAGAAGCTCATTAGCTCTGTGCAGCAGAACGAATCCTTGTCGGCGTCGGCAGGTCAGACCAGCGAAACCTACAAGGGTTTTGTCACTTCTCTGGGGAGATGCTGTAATGGGCAAAGACACCGCTCCCTGCTCTGCATATATTTAAAGCATCTTGCAGCTACGTTCTCTAGCAGTCTCCTTTTTCCAAGGCCAAAACTGAAGTGCTGTTTGTTTTGGGTTTTTTTTTTTCACAGTCTTTTCTTGCAGAAGGAAAAGCATTAGTTTATTTGGCTGTTTCTTATGGTTACTAGTATAGAGTTGTTCAGATTGATTAAAAAAACAGTCCATTCTTAAATTTTGAAAGAAAATAGAAGGCTCACGTATGGCGATTGATGGCATGTGGCATTTAAATGGGAGCTCACTGATTTTTCAGTTCACAGAAAATGGCAATCATTTAGCCGTGGTCCTTGGTAAAGAAGAAATCATTTGAGGTGTGGAAACAATTTTGCTGCTCAGAGATATCTCATAGACCCAGGATCACATATATAATAGCAAAGCTATTTCAGTAGATCACTTGAAAGTATGTTAAACTTTTAGTTTTGGATAATTCATTTTATATAAAAGTTTAACTCTCAAAAAGATTTCCCTTGCCACCTAGCATATCATTGGTCATGTCTAAATATACAGTCAGGAAAATTTTTTTAAATCTAATGTTAGTCTAAATCAGATACAGTTACTTAAATCAACTAGCAATGTAGGCGTAAGAGAGAGACAGTACATTCAGCAGGCATCTCTACTTTTATTCTTGGAGTTGTCATATTCTTGGGATTATTCGTAAAGTTGACCACTTCATTAGTACAGCAGTTGTGTTCTGCTCTTCAACTATTAATCAATACCTTTTTTTGTTTTAAAGATTGGCACCTGAGCTAAAGCTGTTGCCAATATTCTTTTTCTTTTTTTTTTCTGCTTTTTCTCCCCAAATCCCCCCAGTACGTGACTGTATATTTTTTTAGTTGTGGGTCCTTCTAGTTGTGGCATGTGGGACGCCGCCTCAACATGGCCTAATGAGCAGTACCATGTCCGCATCCAGGATCTGAACCAGCGAAACCCTGGGCCGCTGAGGCGGAGCACGCGAACCCAACCACTCAACCGTGGGGCCGGCCTCTTAACCAATATTTCTGCACAAGGTAGATCTTAAAAGAAACCAAGCAGATGGCTGCTTTACATGGTGAAGAAGGCAGCCTGGTCCCCTAAAATTCTTTGTTTTTTTCTCTAAAGATTGGCACCTGAGCTAACATCTGTTGCCAATCTTTTTTTTTCTTCTTCTTCTCCTCAAAGCCCCTCAGTACATAGTTTTACATTCTTGTTGTAGGTCCTGCTATGTGGGATGCTGCCTCAGCATGGCCTGATGAGCAGTGCTAAGTCCATGCCCAGGATCTGAACCGGCGAAACCCTGGGCCGCTGAAGCAGAGGGCGCAAACTTAGCCACTCGGCCAGGGCGCTGGCCCCTCCCCTAAAATTCTCATGACTAGAATTCTGAAGCTAGAGCTTTATCCCTTTCGTTTGCGAATCTGGCTCTTTCAAAGACAAATCCCTCAAGGAAAGATAATTACGTGTGTGTGTGTGTGTATGTGTGTAAGATGGAAGATTGGCCCTGAGCTAACATCTGTTGCCAGTCTTCCTCTTTTTTGTATATGGGTCACTGCCACAGCGTGGTTCAGTGAATGCTATGTCGGTCTGCCCCCAGGATCTGAACCCATGAACTCTGGGCCACTGAAGTGGAGCATGTGAACTTAACCACTACGCCACCAGGCCAGCCCCGGAAAGATAATACTTTAAACTAATATAAGTCGCCTTCTTATAGTCCAACATGAAAGAGTAGGTAAAAGCCATCAGTTGAGAACGTCCTTATTAGTTCCAGTACCAACCATACAAACCTACATACAATGCGCTCTATCCTACTTCCCTCGTATCTCGGTAAAGACTGTCCCGCCTCCATTTGAAAGATGAGGCCTTCTCTGTCCCTTGGATCCCAACCTCTCCTGCCCTCTCAGGATGCCCACACTATCAGTTGAGCCTTCTCCCTCCTTATATATTTAGCTTCTCACCACCACCACTTAGTCTGGATTCTTTCCATTAAACACATTCCGTCTTCTCCCGTTGAAAAATATAAACCTCACTGGAGCCTCCTTCACCTCTAACTCTCTTGACCCCTTCAAAGCCAGGCTTCATGGGAGAGTCCTCCCTACTTGTTATGTCTGTTTTCTCACCTTTGTTCTCAACCCTCTCCAGCCTGGCTTCTCTCCCCACACCCCTGAAAGGGCTCTAGGGGAGGTTGCTAATAACCTGCCCAGTGCTAAACCCAGTGGGCTTTTTATCAGGCCTCATCTGACCTCTCAGCAGCACTCAGCACTCCTTGTTGACCACACCCATCTGCTTACTTTGCTTCCATGATGCGACACTCTAGTTTTTATCCTGCCTCCATGCACTGCCCCTCCTCGGACTCCCTGTCAGGTTCATCTTTCTTCGTCTGAGTGTTAAGTATTAGAATTCTGTAAGGATCCATCCTACGCCCTGTCTTCTTCTCATCCTATATGCTCTCCATACTCCTGACTTCAAATATTATCTATATTGCAGACTAGTCACAAATTTCTGTTACTGGCCTGGATCTCTCATCTTTATATATATCCTGCTGCCTACTTGACATCTTCACTTTGATGTTGCAAAAGCATTCTGACTCAACAGATCCAAACCAGACTTGTGGTTCCCTTCCACCCTTCCCCCATCCTCCACCAAGATGCCCCAGTCCCCTTCCAGTGCTCTCTGTCTCATTGAACAGCATTACCATCCATCCAGTTGTGTGAGTTAGGAAGCCTAAGGGATATCCTATATACCTCCTCCTTCTCCCTCTGTCCATATACACTGTGTCTCCATGGTCTGTCAACTTGGCTTCCTAAGAACTTGCACATCTACCACCATAGCCTAGCCCAAGTGTCCACTGTCTTCCCAGGTGTGCAGTAGCTTTCTAAGGCTTCTACTCAAACTACCTCTTGCCTCCCCCACTCCATTCTCCATACAACAATCAACGTGATCTATTGTAAATCTGAAATATTCATTCACTGCCTGCTCCCACTCACTCTAAACTCTTCAGTGGCTCCACGTTGCTCCTTGAAAAAAGATGAAAATCCTGAACTCAGCTTACATGGCTCTCACGGCCTGGCCCCTGCCTTACTTCTCACCATCCTTCTTCCCTTGCTCTCTCAGCCCCAGCACCTTGGCTTCCTCCATCCTTCAGATCTGAGCACAGTGTCACTTCCTCCTTTCCTGGTGTCCTAATTTAGTCAGATCCCAATGTTATTGTCCCAGGTGCATCAACATGGACACCCTAACAAAAGTTACATTTTATTCTTATTTCTGTGACTGTGATTAATGACCGCCTTCTACACCCCCGTTCTAGTCTTTAAGTTCTAGAAGGACAGGACTTTGATCTGTTTTTGTTCATCACTATACCCCAGTGTGTAACACAGAACCTGGCACAGAATTGTGTGCTCAAAAATAATTTGTTATGTGAATGAATGAGTTTACATTTGAATGTGGCTGAGTATATAGCATCCATTTTTAAGGACAGGTTTGACAGGAGTGAGAGAGAACAGGAGTTATGACATAATTTTAGGGACTTGAGAAGAGTCCAGGGGGTAGAGTCAAGACAGAACCTCAACAAAAACTTTATCTCCTTCACGATTTTGCCTGGCACTCAACCGCACCTTCCACATATCTACTGATCCGTTTTTGGCTGACCCTCTTGATAACCAAGCTGAGATGCTGCAAGAATCTGGAGTGCCTCCTAAAATGCCCTGAAAGCCTAAATCCTGTCCAATTTGCTTATCATTTTGAGGACATTTTATTATAGTCTAGCTTTTGAAAATTGTTGATCCAATTGTAACGTGCACATTTGATCACTCACGTGCACCTCCGGGCTGTGAGCTCTCAGGAACTGTCGGTGCCCAGTCCTCAGTAGGGTTGTTAGTCAATGGTGGGTAGATTGGTGGATGAAAGAAGGAAAAGGAAAGTTAGGGTCCTTGTGACTTGATGATCTCACCCAGGGCTCGCAACCTCAGAGACCCACAAGGGCCAAGAGTGATTGGAAAGGAAGAAAGCAGGACAGATGTCACCGTGCTCACACGTCGTATCTGAGCGGGTGCTGGGGACTGGGCTTACTGGGACCCACACGCCCTATCTACAGGCATTCAGATAAGAAAAAACTGTAACCTCTGAGCATCCAAGGAAAACTTGGAGAGTCAAATCCAGCCCACCAGACGCCAGTTTACAGCTTCTGACTAGTAGAGTGTTATGGTTGTCGTAGACAGAATAATTGTACCCCCAAAGATGTCCATGTCCTAATCCCCAAACCTATGAATATGTAACTTTTCAAGGCAAAAAGGACTCTTCAGCTGTGATTAAATTAAGGATCTCACAATGAAGGGATTATCCTGGATTATCTGGATGAACACAGTGTAATCACAAGAGTCCTTATAAGTGGAAGGCAGGAGGGTCAAAGTCAGAGAGAGATTGGAAGATACTATACTGCTGGCTTAGAAGAGGCACAGGGAGTGCAGGCAGCCTCTAGAAGCTGAAAAAGGCAAGGGAACAGAGTCTCTCCTTCCAGAAGGAACGCAGCTCTGTTGACACCTTGATTTTAACACAGTGAAACATATTTCGGAATTCTGACTGCCACAACTGTAAGATAATAAATTTGTGTTGTTTTAAGCCACTCAGTTTGTGGTAATTTGTTAGAGCAGCAATAGGAAACAAATAACAGTGGTTAAGAGTCTTCAGACTATAGAGACAGAAGGCCTGGGTTTCAGTCTTGGCTCTGTCACTTGCTAGCTGTGTGACCTGGGGCAAGGAAGGCAATGTTTTGTGCCTCAGTTTTCCCATTTGTATGATGGAAATGTTGATGGTACTACCTCAAGGGGCTGCTATGAAGATGAAGTGAATTAACATACATACCATTCTTACAACTATGCCTGCACATTATAGGCATTAAATCAACCTTAGCTTATTAAATTGCAGTTGTGCATTGCTTAACAATGGAGATACATTCTGAAAAATGCATCATTAAGCGATTTTGTGTTGTGCAAAACATCATAGCGTGAACTTACACAAACCTGGATGATATAGCCTACTGCACCTCTAGGTTATATGGTACTAATCTAATGGGACCACCATTGTATTTGTGGCCTGTCATTGACCAAAACATCATTATGTGGTACATGACTGTGCTGTTTATTATTTGCAGAGAAAAGAACATAGGCCCATAGGGGTCCAGTACCTTCTCCAAGGACAGTAGGTACAGAGCAGAGCAGAGCAGGACTAGAATGCAGCCCCCCTAAGTTCTGAGCTGTTTAGTGCTTTGTCATTACAATGCCACAATATCATTTTCCTACCGAATCTCATTTCAAAGTCAAAACAGCTAATTACAGCACATCCCCTTCGGGAGGGCTTAGCTAGATTTCATACCTATGCTTAGCCTTTATGTTCTCAGATCCTTTCATGAGAAATGAAACATAGAGGGCCTCATTTGAAATCATGTGTGTTTGACTGTAAGGCTGCCTAGTTAATAGCAGAGTTTTCTCTGGTTATAGTGCAGCCACTCATTGTTTTGTCTCCTCCAAACATGACCCATAAGAAAAACAAAAAGCAAAAGGCCAGCACAGAACCAGGCAACACATCTGGTAGTGGAATAAATGGGCTGCTCGGCACAAGCCAGAGGGCAAACGTTCTGGGGACACTTGTGGGGGTACAACATTGGCCCTGTTTCCAAGATGCAAGCTCCACCTTGAATCCGAAGGGGTTTTTCAAAACATGCTGCCCCCAAAACCCTAGCTTCATTTTAAAGCCTGGGTCTTATAAAGGTGCCATAAGCGGTCCCATAAGGGTGGCTGTGCATCCCTATAAAAGAAACAAGTATTCTTGAAAATAAATTGAAAGGTGAGGCCTAGCCTCTAAGACGCTCATTCCCGGTGGAGTCAGTAGCTGCATTCCAGACCTATGACATCAATTTGCTCAGTCCTGTAATCTCAAGTTTCCTCCTACAGTATGAGATTGGTATTTTAGAAAGGACTTAAAGACTGCTGAGTCCAAATTTAGAACCTCCAATATTGTAAATTTCCAAATACACAGCTGGCCCTTATCAATGGGGATAAATAATGCCATAATGGGATGTTTTGAGGAGAAAATGACTAATGAATGTGAAAATGTTCTTAGAAACTTAAAAACACCTTGGAACAATTCCCAGCAGTTTCCAGGGTGCTATAAATTTTACAGACATATATCTGACCAAAAATCTTTTCTCTGGCATTAAGCCTGTTCCCTATCTATAGCATAGACGGTGATGAAATTGGGGTAGCACAGATCAGTTGTTTTCTGGCCCAGGGCAATAAAGAGAACTAAAGTGAGAGTAAGCATTGGATTTAAAATATTTATACTTGGTGACTCCACGGACTTTATATTTCCACTCTAGCTCTCTCTTCAGATTCCATGATGCCAACTGTGGACACTAGTTGCCGATATTTGGGAAGGGCCTGCAACTTCTGCCTCTAGGAGAGCACTCCTTCCACCTCTTAGGTCCCAGTGGAGGACTCTGAGAAGCCTCAGACTCCTCCTACCATTTTCTCATCTCACACACACCTCATTCCAATGGGTGAAGCAAAATGCTGAATAATTGCAGGGTTGTTAAGTAATTTCCAAGAACTTCAAAAATGCACTGTGAGTGCTGAGGCCCATTGTTTTTGTGTTGATCATTCCTGGAACTTTGTATAGGCATACAAGCATGTAATTCTCCTCTTTGGTGCCCTCCTCGTTCTCTGGAGATTTCTATCACTATGGGGTGCCCATCCGTTGTCTGTCCCCACCCCCTTCTGTTGCATCATAGCAGGTTCGTGCCCCTGCTATGATGTTTCACTTGTTATGACTAAATTATATGCCCAGTATCAGGAGTGTCATTTCTGTTCTTGTTCATTTGTCATTCCATGTCTAATAAGGCTCTGGTGGTAATGGGTGGGGACGAGAAGAAGAGCAGCTATTGTTCTTTGCAGACAGACGCGCTCTCCCATGTCTCCCTGGGGCCATGAGCCTCTTTGTGTTCCAACTGGGTCTGCACAATCAGGGCAAGAAGCAACCTCTAGCCTCAGGGTGGGGGAGAAAGGCAGAGGCCACGTTCCTGGAGTTAGGAGGCCACAAGGAAAGAAAGGGACTTCTGTGAAGAGACGAGTCCACTTGCCTTGAGGCACCGGAGGAGCAGGGCTGGGGAGGGGCCAACGAAGTGAGGAAGGCGGAGGGTCAGCTCAGTGTGACATGACGCATGGTGCCTTTCCTGGGGTTGAATTTGAGGAACCGAGGAGGCGGTGGTAGTGAGAGTCAGTCTTTCAGAGCACAGGATGGAACAAGAACTCCGGCCACTGACTCTGTCTCATGTATCTACAAGGGCTGAGGAGATTAATGACCCAAGGAGGATGTGATATGGTCCAAAAACTTCTCCTGGATTTTTTCCGCAGGCGCCTGAGCCAGAGGCCAACTGCAGAGGAATTGGAGCAGAGGAACATTTTGAAACGTAAGTGACTAAGCCCATGGCAATCGCTGATGTAGTGGGTGGCTTTGGTTAGTATTTAATTGTGGGCCACAAGGGTTCTGCCTTGTGCCTGTGTGGAAATGATTGAGAATCCCTCTGATGGTTGAGGCTTCATCCTTGCGTGTTAGAACATACAAGACAACCTCCCCATTGAGAAGGCAAATTCTCATCTACTTGGCTCCCTAGAAGCTCACGGACCGGAAGAGGAACCTTCCCTTTAGTGGGCTGTAAGGTCAGAGAAACTGAAAAATTACAGAGAAATTATTATTAAATGATTTGGAGGAGAGTTAGGTCACCTTTAAGCCAAAATTGGCTTAAAAACAGCAAATACTCTATTGATGGCTAATATAAGGCAAATAAGCCATTTGAAAACTGGGCCTTAGAAAACATGACTTTCCATTGCAGCTGGCTGCTGTTGATAAAATTCCCCTTCTCTTTTGAACGTTAAAGTCTAAGAAAGCAATTCCAAGTGGAAATGCTCCGTGTCCGTCTCTCAGGACTCCCACAACTGGGCCATGGTATGCCGGCCTGATGCTCTCATTCAAGAAAAACTCAGAACTGCCACTGTGCCTGTGGACAGAAAACATAAATGAGCCTCTTGTTTGGTTCAGGACACAGAGATATTTGAATATGTACAGAGAATCCATTTGGTGCTTAAAATATATATGTATAAAATACACAAATTAAACCTCTCGTGGACATCAGTATGCCTCAGTTTAGTGGGAGATAGTCAATAATTAAAAATAAAACCTCTCTGCTCACATCTGCTCCATCATTACTGCCACTCTCACCCACGCTTTCCTCAAGATGGTCAACAAATAGTACTTTTAGTTTAATTCATGGCCCTTTTCTCCCCACACACACACCCTTTTCTAATTCCTCTCCGGCATAGAGAAATATCTGCTGTGCAGAGTTTCATGGAAATGCTATGCACGCACACACCCCAAGCACATGAAACCTCAGTTTGAGTGGCTGGGTATTTCCACTTAAACCAAACTAAAGCGTTCTTGATTTTACGTTTTTACCCGTCCTCGTTGTGGTCTTGTGACTTGGTCAGCACTGAATGGTTTGCTGAGAGTGAGCTGCGAACTTCCCCCAGGGAAGGCTGCGGTGGGAGGTTTGTCGTCTGCAGCCTCTCCAGTGTGCCCATCTGTGAACTGTTGGCCTTTATCAACATCCTGCCTGCCTGGGCCAGGCCAGCCGCCACTTCCCCAACTCTCAGCGGTGTTATTTTCAGGATTGGCCTTCCTCAGTTCTGAGGGCACCTCATGTATATCCTAGGTCTCTAGGAATTCGTCTGTATGTTTTTTCTAACCAAGGGATGCCCATAAAAGTTTCTAAGCTTAATATGCTACAAAGTGGGTTAGAACTTTTTCAGATGATTCCCCTGATCAGGGAAGCACTTGGCCTGTGTGATGTCTCCCTTTCTGCCCCAATCTGATACCTGGTCCATTCTAATCTTTCCACTATTCAAGAGAAAGAAAAACAGAAAGGTGTCCATTTATCCCTAAAATCAGAAATCGGGTGCATGTGCTTCCTTCTGTCTCTGCCACTTCACCCCCCGCGCGTGCCTAACACCGATCTGTCATCTTCTGAAGGAATCTCTGTATAATTTACTCAGGGGGCCACACTGTACTTGGGGCCTCCAACCTGACTCCTAAACTGAAAGAAGCTGAAAACTTCCGGGCGATTATTCAGATTTCAGAAAATAGTGCTCCTCTCAGCAGGGGCGAGGGTTTTAGAAAGAGAAGATATAAAGTCCCCAGCTCCCGTCTGGCTTCCTGAAGGCCCCAGCCCCCACTTCTTGCTTGCCCAGATCCGTGGGAGATCACAGGCAGTGGCCTCGTGGTAGGCGTTGATTGCCATCCAGAAACACTGAGATCTCAGAGACAGTTGCTTGAGTCTAGTAAGCCTGGGGGCTTAGAGTCAGGGGACCAGAGTGGGCTTAAAAGATTGTCACCTGGTTCCTTTTCGTCCTTTCCCCTCTTCTTTCTTGTCTTGTTCAAACAGCTGCAGATTAAAGAACTGCTTGGCCAAATTCAAACAGGTTGATCATTTCTGTGTCAAAACTTTTTGGAGAGGAACTTATTTTTCCCATTAGTTCTTATTTTTTTCCCTGCATCCTGGAACTTTGTTTTCTTAAATAATTTTTTTTAACCTCGTCTGCTTGTCAAACAAGAAGTGTTTAGTGGTATAAGAAAACACCTCAAGCCGTGTATTCTAAAACTTATTTTCTGGGCTTTCAGTCATTTGAGAAACCATCTCTCTGAGGATACTGGAGAGTGGTACACAGAGACGTCATCCTTGGGTGATGGAGCTTGAGAGGCTGCCTCTGGCTCCCAGCCCCACCCTGCCCAGCCCAGGTGGCACTTGCTTTGTTCAGCAGCCAATGAGACACTGTGCACGTTTGAGCACATAATGAGCTCACTCTGATGGTGGTAGCAGATGATGACAACGTTGTGGGCCTTTCTTGGCCTGTCCTCCCAGTTGCCTAATGGGGTTGTCTTGGTACCCTCAGCCTGAGAATTCATGACCTTGCGTTTGTAAATGGCTTTGAACTAAAGGTATAGATGCCATGGGTGGTAGCTTGGGGCCCTGCCCCTCAGAGGGACCAAAGAAAGGCCCATCAGAGATGAAGGCTCTGTGCTTGGTCACAGAATGCTGACCTTCATGGCTGGGAAACGGGGCCTGTAGGATGAGGAGGCCCCGACTAGAGTCTGAGGCCAGTAACCCGTAATGAGGAGGAGGGCCGGCCCCAAGCAAAACATGACAGGGGAAGAGGCAGCGTGTTCTAGTGAGAGAACTGTTTGTCTGACTAACTAGCCGTGTAGGGTGTGACCAGCCACTTCACTCCCCTGGGCTTTCACATCCTCATTTACAAACAGTGGTAGACTAGGTGGTCTCTCGGCCTTTTATGGTCCTAATAGCCTGTGAGTCTATACATTTTAATCAAGTGTCTTGCCCTGCCTCCTGGGCACCCACCATCCAGACTAGACGTTTCCTCCCATCCTCCCTCCCACCTGCAAATACACCTGTCTGGGGTCTCCCTTCTTCTGGGTTTTGCTGTCTGCCTCCCGATTTACCTCCGATAGATTAGTTCATACTAAGATATTAATGGCTGACTAGTTTAATGGGTTTTATCCAAGAGAATTTGCATATTTAAAGGGAACTCTGGGAGGGAGAGAGGATTTTTAAATCCACAGGAAAGAGCTCTCACGTTGGGGTTTGGAGCACTGTGGGGCCAACTGCAGCAGGGACCTCTGGGGACCTTGGCCCACTGAAGGATGTGGGCATTTCTTGTGCTGCCCCCATACAGGATCCTGAGCCCCAAAGGCAGGCAGAGCAGCAGCCAATTCGTGCCCCTGGGGGTTTCACTCAAGGGCCTGAGTTCTGCTCTCACCTGCCAGCATCCCTTCTAGTGGGAGGTGTTGCCACCGGCAGCGTGAGTTGGGTGTGGTTGTGTTTGCTGCTGTGAGAGCTGGCAGGGAGGGGCAGGGCGGGACCCCACTTCTGTGCACAGGGGCTTCCCTCTTTTAAAGATCTGTCCTGTACTGAGGTAGCTGGATTGCAAGTGTGCACTGATAACGATAAGTTAAGTTATTGAAACATCATCTAATAACAGTGATTTCAAAATGGGAGAACGAGTGCCCGGGGTGCTCTTAATGCACCCTATGCCAGATCAACTGGAAGCAGCTTCCTTGTCCTAATGCCATTCTAAATTCAGTGGGTGAGAATCACAGGCCTTCTTTGGCACAGGTTGACTTCCGTGATTTCCTTCAAGCTAGACAATGTAATGCTTATATCCATGCTTCCCTTCCAAGGCCCAGAAGGAAAGTGATGTACCTGAGGTCGTTCAGGTAGCTTAAAGGAGAAACAAGCCCACGTTGTCTGCCCCACAGATCTCTGCTCTCTTCCCCAGGTCTTTTACCTATGGCTCTATAAACATCTGATGAATAACTCACCCCACATATTAAACTGAGAACGTTTAGGCTCGCAGTCTGCTCTAAGACACTCCTTAAAAGTCTAGATGCAGGCAGTTGTATCCCACGCTCTGGCCTCACACGTGTTCTGTGGACTTCTTGGAAGATTCAAAGAATTAATGGAATCAGGGCTTGCGAAAGGTGAGCGTTTTGAAACTCCTCTTCCTGCAGCCAGCCTTGCGTTTGGCAGTAGCTGTGCCTCCTTTTGTTCCTGCAGCAGGTGACAGGCAACCCCGAGGGGCCAGTCTTCTGTTCTACCCCACAGTGCACCAGACACAAGGCCGCATCACAATGAGCCCCCTTCAGTTGCCATGAGGCTCCAGGCAGAGTTGAGCGAGGCCCAAGGCTTGTCCAAAGAAGGGAGCCTCACCTCTCCCCAGATGCCCTTGTCACTCCTAACAGCACCCCCACGCCTTTAGGACCCACCTCCTTGCGTCTTGGCCACATTTCTCAACTCAGCATTTCCTGAGACTTGAAACCCCAGGTGACATAAAGAAAACAGAATAAGGTCAACCTGCTCATCACCAATTTGAAATAGTGGAGGCAGTTTGGGAAGCACCCCCGCAACAGAAGGGTGGCCGGGACAGGGACAGGAGCTCTCTCTTCCCCCTTGCAAACTGTGGGGTGCTTGGCCTAGAGCCTGCAAAGGTTCAGGGATGTACCTGTGTGCCACGCTGTTTAGCAAAATCAAAAGCATCTTAAATGTTTCTTTCAGCTCGGAATGAACAAGAGGAACAAGAGGAGAAAAGAGAGATCAAGAGGAGGCTAACTCGAAAGGTGAGGTGGTGCTCCGTGCCTCCAGAGCCGGGCCAGGGGAAGGTGGGCCACCCTCCGCTCCTGCGCCCCCTCTTGGTCGCTCAGCTGCCTGGCCCGTTGGAGGCAACATTAGTGGTTCCAGTCCTCGAGTGTCAGAGCGTGCAGCTCTCCCGCCTCCACAGGACCTCTCCAGGGGACAGTGTTCCACTCAGTTTCATGACCTTCAGTCCCTTTGACTGGTGACAATCTATGTTACTTGATTTTGTGACACTCACCTACTCCAAGCAACTTGATGTCAGGTGCATTATATTTTCAGTTACAGTGAACATTTTATTTTTAAAACTTCACTCTAACCCCATTAAGCAATTGGAAATTTACTATCAAAATCAATAGTTCAGGGGCCGGTCTGGTAGCATAGTGGTTAAGTTCACGCACTCTGCTTTGGCAGCCCGGGGTTTGTGGGTTTGGATCTTGATCATGGACCTACACACCGCTCATCAAGCCATGCTGTGGAGGCATCCCACATGCAGAATGGAGAAAGATTGGCACAGATGTTAGCTCAGGGACAATCTTCCTTACCAAAAAAAGAAAAAAAAATCAGTAGTTCAAATATAAGTAGTTATTTACTAGGACCCTGGGAAAGCATGCATGTTCCTTGTCTCCCTGATACGATTTCTTACCTATTCCCTAGGAGCTATTTGACTTTATTATGCAAAATCCAATTTGAATTACTGAATTAGGAGAATGCCAAAAGTACTAATAAATGTAATGAAGATGTTTGAAAAGCACTTAGATAAAAGTCATAAAGCCAGAATTCTTATATGTTTTTAACCCCCAAAATAGATGGCTTAGCAATGCAGTGTAGCCCCAAATGATTTTAATTCTATATGAGTGGCCTCTTCAATAATAAACTCTTATTTGAGGCCATTCTTGGAGGATATTGACAAGTTTAATTAATTGATGACACATAAGATAAATACTCTATTCTGTCTGACTAGAGTGTTTTCAATCAGCGTCCTACAGTGACTATCTTGAGAGAAAGATACTCAAATCTTAGAGACAGTTAGGAGACCCATTAAAATTAATTTTAAAAGGTTTATTAATGGATTTTTCTCCCTAGAAATACTATGCAGAGGAAGAAATTCAGAGATCCTAAAATATCATACCAATTATTAAGGTGATGATTTGTGCTCCTCAACACTTTCTCTCCCTTAGAGTGTCCCATACATCTGGTGACAAGCCAAATGCCATCCCAATTAAAAGGAGTAGGATAAACAAGTCCCTGAAAGGCAAGTGACACCTGGTGTCCCCCTGGTGGGGACTAGAATAAGAGCTCAGTGACCTCACTTCATCAGGCACCCTCACCCCTGTCAGGGCCTGATGCTTACACCCTTGAGACTGCTCAGTCTTTGGATGTGGGGCATCCTTTCTCCCAAGACTGAGCAGTGAGAAAATCGGGGAAAGGCATCAGGTTGTTCTAAGTGTGTCTTTGAAATGACAGGTTTCAAAAGGAGGCTGGTGCTACCCCCTCATGTCTGACATAGAAAGGTCTAGACATTCAGAAAAATTCTCAGATTTTCATAAAGTTCCTTAGTGTTGATTGCTGGGACCCCAAAATTGTCCTAAACTTTATGGTTTCTTACTAAAAACTAGTCATAGGAAAATACTTAGATATGTATTTAATTCTTATCTCTTTAAGAAAGGTATATGATTTTGCAGAGAAAACCTTGGCTAATTGATTATTTGGCAGGAGAGGGAGAGAGAGGAGAGTTCCCTCCCACACATCTCCCCTAGGATAGAGGATGCTAGGGATAAGCACCCCCAAATGGCCCCTAGTTTTTGCAGGCCTTCAAGACAAGATAAATGCCTCTTCCTCCTCCTGGTTACCTCTCCTTCCTTCTCCCAGGAAAACGGCCTTGTGATTTCAGCGTTTGCCCTCCCCTGGGACTGGCTTGGGGAATTAGAATTCATGAGCTTGAGTGAAGGGATAACTGTTAATAAGGGAGAGACTGGGGGAAGCTTTCACAGAGATGTGGTGCCAGCCAGCAGTTGGGGAATCCCTGTCACCTCCTGGCTCTGGGCAAGTTCTCTTCCTCTTGAGCCTTTATCATACCAAGACCAGATGCCACTGATGGTGGCTGCTGCTCAGTTACTTCCCCTCAGCCCGAAGATTTCCTCAATATGGTTCTAATTAATTTTAATGTATTGAGAAAAATAAAACACAGTAGCTGCTGCTGAGAGCAACAGACCAGTCATTTTCTTTAGCCAAATTGAGACTAAGCTAAAAAGTATATGCTTTCTGTTTTAATAAATCCCTGCCTCCCCCTCCCCCAAAAATGCTAGCTAGCTAAATGGATGGACGGATGGGAGGAAGTGAGGAAGGAAGAAAGGAAGGAAGGGGGGTAGGTGGGAATGAGGGAGGGAGGAAATGCACTTGGGTTGGGTTGTATTAATAGTGGAATTTGGGTCTCAGTTTACTCTTTTGTTGAGTATTTGGTTGTAAATGATGTTATTGCTGCCATAGATTGAAACATAATGCTGCCAACTCCTGCACCCCACCCCTTCTTCCACCCAATCATCCCCAGACAACCAACTTTGGCCACAAAGATCATTTCCTTAGCGTCCGAGGAAGGACTTTGGGTTCATGTGCCCGGAGGGCCACATCCAGCGGTGAGCCTGAGGCACATCTCCTGGGCCCCATGTGTTCAGGGGCGTGAGCCCACGTGCACAAAGAAGAGTCCTGGCAGCCGTTGGTTGGTTGGTTCGCACACCAGCTGAGACTCACCCAGCAGAAGTCAGTCCCCCCAACACTCACTGCCTCATACCACTTGGGCTAGTGCCTTATCGACTGGGAGAGGCTGTGTCTAAGGCCCACACAGGATTCAGGCATGAAAAATCATCCCTGACCTTCAGAGCTAGTTTTCTAAGTTCACTCCAGACTCTGCCACAGGCAGTAAACTCCAGATCATGATTTCCAGAAATATAAACTAGAAATTCCATGCTTAACAACCTTTCTCACGTCATGGTGCACTTAAAAATGAATACTATTTATCTAACACCCCAGGGTAAACCTTGCTAGTCCTTAGAAACACAAACTGGGATGAATTTGAATAGGAGTCCTTATTTGTCTGGGGTAAATATGGTAAACATTAAATGTTTGTATATATTTTAAAGGTAGTACAAAAGCTCCCTGCACTCACATTTTGGGAAACACATTCTGGAGTCAGGATGGGCCGCCATTTTTGTTTATAGCAACCCCACCTACTGAGCCTGGGAAATCTGTGGTTTCCTGCTACAGGCCACCACTGATGCCAAAATGTCCTGTCCCAGGCAAACCAGGGCCACCTCAGGACAGACTGGAACCACTTTGAGGGGGAACTACACACAGTCTAGGCAAGTGGACCAGTAGTGGCACAGTCTGGTTGGCCTCTGATCTCCAGATCTTCCCACCATTGGCCAAGGGGGAGCTGCACGCTGCCTTGGTCCTGTCCAGAGACTAGCAGTACCCATCACCATTCTATTTAATACCAGCCAAGCAATCATCTAATTATGCTGTTCCATTGTAGGCTAGTTGGCAGCAAGTTGGAACATTCTGGCACCAGCCAAAGGTGTATGGCAGCTGCATGATACAGAGTCAAAACAGCCAGGGTAGTTTGGAATCACTTGTGTGTGTTTGTTTTAGAGGCCTTTGTGGTAAGATTCTATCTGACTGCATCTTCTATTAATAGAATTAAATACAGTCTAGGGCTTGGAGGAGAAATTGCTTTTAAATAACATCAGTTAAACCTGAAATGACAGCATCCTAAAGAGAGAGCAACTGTGTTGCTCCAGAAGAAATAAACCTAGTGACAGGAAGAGATAATAGAAATGTCAGCCTGTGTTGTTCAAGTACAAAGGAAGGGTGCTGGTGGGTGACACTGGAAGGTGGTTAAATAAATATGAATTTTCCTTTTACTTGTTTCATTCACCACAGACCCACCCAGAAGGCCCATCCCGGGTCTTCCTTGGCATACATGCGTTTGTGGACTCATCTTTCATTTGGAGTTCTTGAGGAGCGGAGTCTCTTCTGACCTCATAAATCAACATATTCCCGTTTCTGCATACCCCAGAGTTTGTGTCCTGTTTGCTCACACACTTTTTTGTGTCTAAAACACACACATGTGTTAAAATGATTTACAAACTCATCTTTCAGAGAGCACTAAATCTGACACACAGATGTAGACTCACAAATCCAAGATGTGACAAAATCATTGTAAGATTCCTGTCACCTGATGGCAGAAGTAAGACAGTCACGGGAAAATCCATAACGGACACCCACACGCACATACAGAGACGAGCTGCTGGTAGAGACCCAGACACTGCACTGTTATTAAGAAAGAGACAGCCTGGCTGTCTATCTGGATAGGCCTGGAGGTAGTTCAAGGGATAATAAAGCTCTTCCTTAGAGTTCTGGAAAAGTCCCAGGTCCAGGAGTCAGGAGCCCCGGGTCCCCACCTGAGCCCTGTCCCTTGCTCGCTGGGTGGTCTCTCTGCTGCCTCTCGGGACCTCATTTTCCACACCTATCAATTCCCGGACAGACCAAGCGATCTAAGCTTCTCTGGTTGACTGCATCTGTCTCCCTCCCTCCCTGCAGCTCAGCCAAAGGCCCACAGTGGAAGAACTTCGGGAAAGGAAGATCCTCATCCGCTTCAGCGACTATGTGGAGGTGGCTGACGCTCAGGACTATGACCGCAGGGCCGACAAGCCGTGGACCCGCCTCACCGCTGCCGACAAAGTAAGCAGAGGGGCGAGGAGAGGGGGCGGCCAGTCCTCATGCTTTGGTTTGCCCCCATAGTGGCTTTCTCACTCACTGCTGGGGAGCCTGTATTGAGATCAGCAGCCAAGCCGTGGTCACAGTCTCGGTAATGGGGCATGAAGTGCCCGCTGGGCAGGCTGACAGAGCTGCTTCCCGACACCTTTCCCCAAGGGCTCCAGATGATCTGTGGGTAGGTCACTGAATTGATTCCTCACTGCTCTGGAGAAGGCACAAGACAGACACGTAAAATTGTGCTGCTTTACAGGAGGAGGAAAGGCAGCGTGAGAGCCTGTGCCGGAAAAACAGAATAGCACTGTCTGGGCACAGAGCAGTTCAAGAGCGCGGGCTCCTGGCTCATCACAGACCTCCTGTGCAGAGGACACTGTCCTCGGCACCCAGCGCGGCTTCGAAAAACTAAAGGAGACAAAGTCGCTGTGTTTGCAGTTCTCGTAACCTAATGGGAGAAGTAGGACACAAATCACAGAGACAGCGAGACCTGCCTCGCTACACAGAACTCTGATCGATTTGGAAAACAAAGACTAATAATAATCGGAGGCTGAGCTTGTTTTAGAAGAAATGCAGTGATGCCAACGATAAGTCATTCTCATCTGTCCATTGGACCATGTATCAAAACGAACCTCTGCATGGTAATCCTTTGTGATTCTAGTCCAGTCACCATGAGGAACTGGAGAGCTAAGGCCCTTTTTTAAAAAAGTCTAAAATAATGACTGTCCAATGTGCAAGTGACAATGAGGAGACTCTGGGGTACACTTAAGGGCCTTCCCCTGGAGTCCTGCTTTTGCCTCCTCCATTCTGGGGGCCAGTGGCCTCCTTACACGGGATACAGGAGGTGGTCTACAGCACAACCTCTGGCAGGATCCAGAAATTGCAGGAAACGGGAGCACAGGGAAGCTACTGTTCTTGGGTGGGACTGATGTGGCCAGAGGCAGAGAGACCTCCCAGAAATGCCTCTCACATGCTGGGTCAACCCCACAGATCCTAATGAATGGAAAACTCCACCCTCGTCTTAAACCTAGCACTGATCTCTTCCCTGTACAGGAATTTGTGGTGAGCGACCCCAGGAACTGCCACCACCATGCACAGGACAGACAGACGCAGTCCAGCAGGCAGTGTGTCATGTAAATGTGAACAAGGAAGGGGCCCTGGCCTTGTTCGCTGATGTTCACACTTTGACTGCAGCCTCCTTCCTTACCAAGGATGAGGGTGTCAGCACATGTCAAGGGAACGTACGAGATGTCTCCACATGCACGAGTTCTGAGTAGCTGTTAGGCAGGGATCCATCCAGTTCTCAAAGGCTGCTGGGGACAGAAGAACAGGAAGGGGTTCCCCCCTGAAGTTGATAAACAGGCACTTAAACCCGAGGATGCCTTCTTTCCCCAGGGGGAGCCACTCTGCTCCTACGTAAAGACTTTTGCATCCTCAGACTCTCGGTGCCTCGATATGTTCCCATCGAGCGAATATCAACCTTGGAAGGAGCTCTGGGAAAGGGCACATGTTTAACATTGCAGCCCCCGAGGAAGAAGGGAGGTCTTCTTCAACCCCAGAGGTTCTTCTAGTCCAATCCCTCCTCACGTCTCCTTGCGGTCTGATTGCCCAGCCTCCCCGCTCGGCTGCAGCCACATCTGTGAGCATGCTGTAAGGATGCAGTTATTCAGGGTTATCTCAGAATATCTGAGCTTATTCAAAACGTATCCCACACCCTTTATGGTGAAATATATCACCTGAGTCAATACAGTTATAAAAGAGCGAAGGCTTTATCCATCACAGAGAAAGGAGGAGCTCGCCATCTCCCGTTCCCTTAATTTGGTTGGGAAATTTGATCCACTCCTTCTAGAAGTGTCCATCTTGAGGCACCTCTGTGCCTGTGATGAGCTAAGGAAGATGAGAGGTTGACATTTAAATGTGTACTGGGGAGCCCAGGAGTGTGGGGCAGGGGCACACGCACTATGGATGCCTAGCTGGACCAGCTCTGTCAAGACAGGATGACAGAGATGCTCTGAGTGAGAGCCCAGATATCATCATTTGCCATAGACACTTAGGAGGAGGGGGATTCTTAGTAGGTTCTAAAGGATGTCTCAGATGATTTCTTTCCACTCAGTGGAAGAATCCATCTTACACATTTGTATGGCTTTGTCGAAGAAAGAAAATAGTTCAACATAAAATAAAAAGTGAACTTCTTTCCATCTGCCTTCTCTGCATATTCATGGGCTTCTCTTCATTCCAGGCTGCCATTCGAAAGGAGCTCAATGAATTTAAAAGCACTGAAATGGAAGTTCATGAATTGAGTAGACATTTAACAAGGTTAGTATGGAGTTGGGTTTTTCCCCCTCAAATTGTAATATTTAAAACTAAATATTACATACTATTAAATATTACAAACTAAACTATCCAGTCTGCTTCTGGATCACAGGTGGTGTGGTAGGTGCAGTGGGGGAGAAGATAGAAGAAAGGTTGATATGAAGTTCCACTGTGGTTCTTGAAACTAGGGGAAGGAGCAGGAAAGGCCCAGGCTAAAAGCAGCTTTCTGAAAGCCTAGTATTTGTCTGTTTGTTTAGTTTTTTCGTGTTTTTTTGTTGCTGAGGAAGATTGGCCCTGAGCTAACATCCACAGCCAATCTTCCTCTTTGAGGAAGATTTGTCTGTACCAATCCTCCTCTATTTTGTATGCAGGTTGCCACCACAGCATGGCCACTGATGAGTGGTGTAGGTCCACCCCTGGGAACCGAACCTGGGCCACCAAAGCAGAGCAACCTGAACTTAACCTCTAGGCCACCGGCGCTAGCCCTGAAAGCCTAGTTTTTAACTCATCCAAACTAATGATCTAAGGGCCAGTAGGGCCACTGAAGATCTAAACCCCAAAGTGGGTTTTCATGAAAGCTGAAGCTTAAGAGGAAAGATCATTGCCCCCATTTACAGCCAGTGAGCAGAGGCCAAACCTGGGCAAAATGCCAAATCTGGTACTTCCAAAGTGGGTTCACTTCTGTGATTCTGTATCATCCTCCCAGAGAGTCTCGTATGGTGCTATCTGAGGGGGAACTGATGCATGGAGAGATTTAAGGGGCTTGTATAAGGTCACATGGCTGGTTAGTGATGGAGCCACCGACTGAATTTTCATGACTCTCCCCTTTATGAGCCTTTAGAGGGGCAGTGCCTGGACTCAGACTCGGAGGGTCGAGGGCGGGTTCTCCACCTTGTGCTGAGTCCAGGCTGAGGGCATGGGCTGAGTGCCACCAGGGCCACCCCATGGGGCCCCGAGGAGCTCCAGATTAAACCACTCCAAAAGCCAAGGTGAATCTGGGGGGCCTCAAGGATGGGAGGAGTTCTGTGGGGACGTGCCTTTGGTTGGAGATTTAAAGCTCCCCGTCGCTGTCAGAGATAAGGAATCTGAGGATGGGAAGTTTGGGCTGTTGAACCTGACATCTTTGACAGCCCCTTGGTCTTAATTATTTGTTTTCCCAGGTTCCACCGACCTTAACCGTCGAATTCCTCTTGAGTGCTATGCTGTCTTCAAAACATAAATTTATAAGAACCATAAGTGCTGGTATTTATTCACTTCCCCATCACGATGTAAATCTTCTGAACTGCCTTTTTTAAAAAGAAGAAGAAGAAAAATAAAAGGAAACACAATCAGGATTCTATTTGTGAAAACGCGATGGTGACTGCTCCGTGGTCAGAGCTGCTGGGACCACTGCTGGTACCGAACTGTATCCCGTCCCCAGCAGGGCCGAGGGCACCGGCACAGCCTCACTGAAGACTTCCTGGCACTCGGAGCAGCCCTGGTCCTCTGCGGCCAGGCCTGGCAGGTGCCCCATTCAGTTAGGCTCCAGTGAACCTCTTCCTCGAAAATGTCTGTCACCTGAGTCCAAAGAAAGCTGAGGCGGTGGGTTTGGCCTGGGGATGATCGTGCAAAGTAAATGATCTGGTTGGCCTTCTAGACTTGGCCAAACACACTGGCTCCAGGCATGGCATCTGGTTTGGGGGCCCCTTAAGAGAAGCTTGTTGAGAGGGAGCACTGTTTTCAGTTGCCCCTGTCCTTTCTCTCCCTTCAGCCATCATCCACGCAGTGAACAAAAGGGAAGAGCCCTTTTCCGGGGGAGTCTGGTTGACTGCCGGTCCTGACAGTGTGTGCGCTCCAGGTGTGGAAGGCTGGCACTGAGCACCCGTCCTGTCCCCTCCGACTGAGCTGAGCTGCCTTCCAGGAAGCTCTGGTTTAGAAGGGGAAAGTTGTCATCTGTTCAGTTCAAACTAATTGACCCATCATATCAAAAAAGCCAAATGTCACAGGTGATCTTACACACACAGCCAGCCACTGCTAAGGTCCTTCTGTGGTGGTTGTGAGTATGAATGCAAGGGCGTGCGCCTGTTGAGGGCACAAAGGCTGGAGTAAGAAACTGCTTGGCTAATGTTCCTCATTTTCTCTGCGTGCCCCAGGGCCAGTGACTGTATGGCTTGGAAGTTAATGGCCTCTGAGTATAGGACCAGTGCATGCAGGCCAGAAACCATTCCTTAAGGACTGGCTTTCCAGTCACTGATGGACTGGTACTACTTGATAGCCTTCTAGTCTCCTTTTTTTTGTACTGAAGAGTTTCTATGGAGAAGCCCCAGGGTTCAGCATATCCAGAATCGTGCAAACACCAGCCTTGCCTGCAATGCTGTACCTTCCCGCTCCTGTTATCCAGAGAGAATCCTTCCTCTCCCTCATGATGCTGGTGAGAGGCATGATTACACATTTGAGATGTATTTCTAACTGTCCTCCTCACTTGGGACCACAGGAAAGAGGGCTCTGTTGACAGGGCAACACCGAGGGTAGGATGTACAGAGAGAGGAAGGACAACTCCCAAACCCTAACAACTATCTTAATAAGGCCACTGCAGCTGCTTTCGTTTTGTTTTCCTTCCTCACAGAGCTTGTGGGGCCCTCCATCGCAAAGCTCTGCCTGGCCTCCTGCAGTGGTCTCATAGTTACCACGATCTTTCCAGGTGATGGCTCGCGCTCCACCACACATGCCCAGAATTTAGAAAGATGCCAGTTTGGCCTTCACAAAAAAAGAGTTAACCACTCCCCACCCTGAACTGTGGGGGAAGCACGTGACTCTTGGGATGCACACCCATCAATGAGGCCATTTAATGTTCTGCAGGCATGAACTGCTCCTGTGGCCAGCAGTAACCCAGGAGCGGTGCATATTTTGGGGGGAGCTCAGGGCAGCTTTTTAGGCAGTGGCCAGCAGCTGTGGCAAAGCTGTCAGATGCTTTCCTCGCACCCCCTGGAGCGAGCCCGCCACTGCCCACCCCCAGGAGTCCGCCATCACTGGGTCCTTTTTTTCTTTGAATGTTGAATCTCAATAGTTACTGCCGTGGGGAGAGGTATCGTTCAGGGAAAATGTGGTCAGGATTTTAGTGTAGCTGTAAACACCGTCTTCCCAAAAGGCTTACTGACATTTGAATGTGCAAATGGTATGACGAGATGTAGGGCTCTTTCGTTTCACTCCTCTATGGCAGGCACATGTTCCAGGCGGAGGAGCCCGCCTTGCCAGGGGCTGAGTCTGAGCTTTCTCTATCTCACAGCTGTGCGGCAGGTGGCCCGCAGCACCTGGCATGGCAGTCAGGCCTTCCCCTGGCCCAGGAGCGAGTCCTAAGGGAACTCATTCCACTGCCTGGACTCCTCCTACGAAGGCCAGGGGCTTCTCTGCTGGCCTTGGTTCTTGGGCCTTTCAGATTCCCAGGGAACATGACGCCCAAGTCGATGTCGCTGCAGCCAGCCAGGGTTTCCACCCAAAGTGCAGTCCGCCTAGTGTTGCGGTCCACTTGGTGCATGGAAGAAAGTGAACACAGTTTCTACTTCTCTTCCTGCAGAGCACCCTTTTCCAGAAGTCACCTGCACAGAGATAGGGGGGCACCTCCCATGCCACTAAAACTCCTCCACCATCGAAGTGGGCTACTTGCAGCCCATTGTAAGTGGCTCAGCATACTCAGTAGACCACAGGGCGGGCCCTCTGCTGTGTCTTTCTTGAAATCTTGAGGTCTTTCTAGAAATCTATCCAAATTTCTTTTTTGCCACATTGTTACAACAACTGAAAAATGTGTGTTACCTTCAAAGATGACAATTTGACATTAATTAGGGAATAAAAAGAGAGAGATGGGCTAGGTGGTTTAAAATGCATCTCTTTTCTAAGAAAGCTGTAGTTTTCAAGTTTTATCTCGTGTGTTATAAATTCCCAGTTCAGCCTTTTGTCATTTGGATTAGCATGAGAGGCAAAATGTGAAATTTCTCAAATCAAAATGCTTTCCTCTCAAAATTAGACATTGGCCCGACCTCCCACCCACTCCATGACAGAAGAGACAGCCATCTGCCTACATACTCTCTCGGAATTGCTGACATATACCCACCCCCCCCAAAGGCCCTCAAAGCCCTGTAAAACTTTTAAAACTTTAGCCTTTATGTCAGATTAGAGAAACCAAACAATGTGACGGTAGATGTGATGAAAACCTCTGAGTTTATTTTTCTCCCGCTTATGAACGTGTATTTATATTTGCCGAATGAAACTCGTGGTGTGTGCTTCGATGAATGGAATTTCAGACTCTCCCTGTGCACAGCCAGTGGGCGAAGGTCACCTTAAACGACTTTTTCTTCTCATTCGTCTTTTCATCCCCAAACCGGTTGCTTTTTCCACTTGCTTCCCGGGTGTCTGTACATAGTTCGTCTTTGTATGGGAGCGCTCTCCCGTGTTCTAATTTAACAGATGACGGGCTGTATGAGGAAGAACCATGTAAATAGAGTACAAAGTAAACTGGATCTCTATGGCCTAGGTTTTGTACATACAGAAACTGCATGGTATTTAAATTATTGTTTGTCTCTGATGATGTATGCAGTTTCTTTAAAAACAAACCAAAAAAAAAAAAAAAGTCTAAAAAAAAATCCTTGACTCCTGTGTGTTTTATCAGCCACCAGCAGGAACCGCTGAGAATACTATTTGGCTGGGGACGGGGGTAGGTCCCCTCATCAGCAAAAGAGTAAGAGTTACGGAGATACAGGACCACCTCAGGGAGCTGGCATTAGTGGGGGAGGAAGGATTCTTGCACATAGGCTAACTGTCTAGATAATTTTTGTATGCTAGGACCTTTTTCTTCCCAAGGTTTTTTTAAGAATATCTAAAATGTACTGCCCAGCTGTCTTTTAATAATCCGGGAATGATGAATATAAATTAACTTGTTACAGCACTCAGAATCGTGTCCGTAGTGTCAGATATCAGACAGCCTTACGCAGCAGCAATGCCCTGGGGGACCTTTGCGGGGTCACTGCCCGGAAGCAAAAGCCCCAGACGACTTTGCTCTTTGAATACTTACATCTGTCTCCTTTCTTGAGAAGCCTTGAGTCCTGTAAAAAGAAGCCTTTGTCCTGTAAAGCAAAGAGCTTTCTCTCTTAACCTTTGGGTCCTAACTTACCTTTTGGAGGTTTTGAGGGAAGCAGAAAGGGCTGCAGTGCTTGCTGGCTGCATTTAAGGTGGGTGACCTTGCTGGGTGATAGATCCTTGGTCTGGCAACGTAGGCAGGTGGCTCTGGGAAAGAAAGAGGAGGCTAGCATGGCGCTGTTCCCCTGCACCATTGCCAGGAATCACCGGGGGGTCTTGTTAAAGGGCAGATGCCAACTCAGTCGGTCTGGGGTGGGGGGCCTGAGAGTCTGCTTTTCTGACTAGCTTCCAGGACATGCTGATGCCCTTGGTCCTAGAGTCCCATTTCTGAGTAGCAAGGGCTTGGGAGTACAATCCAAAGGGAACCGCTTTTCCTTTGCCTGGGGATCTCCAGCCTCCGAGAAGTGGAATGACTGTGTGTGCTGCTTATTTCTTTGCTGAGCAGCAGCCGCAAAGCCCCCACTGGGTGTCAGCATCCTGCAGCATTGCATCAGAATATCTGCGTAGGCTCTCGCCTGTGCAGGCCGAGGGTCGCTGGAGCAGGAGTGGTCACAGGAGAGAGGGCCTGTGGTTTGCAGAAAGGATTTCAGCTTTCGAGCTAAGAGCTTCTCCCTCATTTTGCGACCTCCTCCCCTTCAGAGCACTCTGACCTTAATAAGTCTAACCTGTAGAACTTGACTGCGGTTATGCAGAGGAGAGAAAAGGCTAAAGGCAGCTTTGGTAGAACCCCAACAGGCTCTGCCTTGCAAGAGGGAAGGAAACTGGCCATCATCCTAAGAGGGAGCCCTTTCCAAAGTAAACAAGGTCACAGCTGCACAATCTCAGTAGGCAGAGGTGCCTGCTTTGTCCCTCCTCGGCTGTTTACACCATCCTGGGACAGAGAACTAGTGTCTCTGCCACCACACCTGCTGGGCAGTGTGGCCAAGTCACTTAATTTCTCTGGGCTTCAGTGTCCTCATCTGGAAAATGGGGGCGTTGAAATAGATGTCCTCTAATGTCCCTTAGGGCATTGGCTTTCTGTGATTTGGGTTTATCTGAAGTTTTGAAACACTGAACCTTAGCCCCTAGGAAAGAGCAGCTTTAGGCAAGTCCTGCAGGGCAGGCTCTCAGAGAGCAGTCTGGATTCCTCTCCATCAGACCGCCTGCAGGTCTGACGTGCTGTGCCTGCCCCCACTCCCTGCCTTGGGTTGGCCTCCGGGAAGGCTAGGAGGCACTGGGACCTGTCCTCTG